AATGAGCCCCGGCTATTTCACTAACCAGACGAAACGCAGAAGTGTAACACTTCTACTTCACGATAGTTTTCTGTGATGTCTTGGTACTTGTCACTCGTGTAGTAGGGGCTGCCAACTTAGGAGTTTTTCCCCGAGAATTAGGGGATAAACAAACGCGGTGGGATTTTTTTAGTGGCGTTACATTTGCAGGGTTATTTCCTACGTTCTATTTTTTATTTTTTTATTAAGAAAAATAAAGGTATAGAAATAAAGAGCCTGGGTTAACGTAATGCACCCAATCATTTTTAATTTTTGGGTTAGCGATATTTAGTACGGGTTTTCATTACTAAGAATGCCCAGTTGACCCATGGAAAGTAGAGATAAAAGTTTAAAGTGCCCGTCTTTTGACGAACTCAATAGCGGTAGCGTAGGAAAAATTTTGAAGAATGCGCCAAAAGTAATTAAATTTTTTATATCATTCATTATGAATCTCATTTCTGGTTTTACGGTAGAAAATTTCTTTTCTATCAAATCTCTTCTTGATGATTGGTCATTTAAAGAAATCATAAGAGAGATTTTATTTTAAAATTAATTTCCCTACAATTTTCGTTTAAACACTTATTTAACTAACATAAATACAAATCGGCCCAAAAGGAGATTTCTGAGCACATTTTGGCTGTGGAAGAGCTGGTTATGTTATGTAAGCATAATGAGGAGCGCTTTGAGTCTTTGTCAAAAAAAATCTGTGAGTGTCAGCGCTCAATGCCAGTTCTTTCGCAGACGGATTGTGAAAATAGTGTTAGTCATAATAGCTTGACTGGCAAAGCTGATCTCTATGGCGGTTCCATAGCTAAAGACATGAATTCATTAAGAATAATATTATTGTTTATAGTGATGACTTAGGTAAAAATATTGGCCCATTAATAAATGAAATTTTTAAGGGCCAAATTACAAATTATTGCATGCCAGGAGCATCATATAATGACATAATTCAAAAGGTCTTATGTAGTACTTTCTGTCCCAACACCATATTAGTGTTGTTGATAGGGACAAGGGGCAATGTTAACAAAGGACAGTTTTTAAAATACTTGGAAGATGTAAATAATCTAAATGTTAATAAAATTGTCTTGTTTACATTACCTTATTTAAGGGATATGCCACATGAAAACAAAATAAGATTTGACATTAATTTGCAGTTAAGCAATTTATTCTGTAATAATTCAGTGAATTTTACATGTCAAAATAATGATACTGACAAATTACATATAATTGACATTAATGCCATAATTAAAAAATATCAAACAAAAGATAGGTATTTCCTATCAAAATTTAATTTAAGACTGATAGCAAATGCGCTATCTTATTTTTTACATTTTAATTTAGCCAAGCGTTTGGCTACACCATCATCTGCTCCTATTGAGCAGCTAAATAGTTTAATATGTACTTTGGAATCCGTTCCAAATAATTTAAATTAATTATTGAGACAAAAGAGGAAATCTCTCATGCAATGACATTTATGTAATGAATTATAAAAAAAAATATTCTATTTCACAGAAAATGTTATGTAATAAAAATTGTTTAAACCTGGTGCACCAAAATATTCAAGGTTTTCAAGGTAAAGATTTAGAAATTGACTTGTTTTTAAATAGCAATGATGTTGATATTTTATGTATTACTGAACATTGGTTAAAAATAATACCTTTATGTTTAACTTCAGTAGACACCAGGTTGTTATTTCTTTCAATAGAGAAAAAGTGTTACGTGGTGGCTCTTTAATATTATTAAATAGATATTTGTCATATAAGGAGCGTAAGGATATTGTGAGCCTCTCTGTTGAGAGAACTATAGAAATGGCTTGTGTTGAGCTTGAGCATCTCATTGTTGTTAGTGTTTACAGACCGCCCTGTGCCTTGTATGAACGTTTTGAAAAAATCATGGAGGAAGTTTTACATAAACTTCATAAACAGAATAAATCTGTCGTCATATGCGGAGACTTTAATATTAATCTCCTAGAAGCTTCTTCCATGAGGATAAGATTCTGCTCATTGTTAAAATCATTTAATCTTTTCAACTTGTTTTTTGAGCCTACAAGAATAACAGAGTAAAGTGCAACATGTATAGATAACATTTTTACAGATGTCAAACCATTGCACAGACTAATAATACATAAATTAAGTTCTGACCATTCAGGGCAGTTTGTCACATTGCCTCTGCACTGTAAAATCCAAGATACTAGGAAAGCTGTGTTTGTTCCGATAAAAAAATATCGCAAGGAGAAGTTTAGACGTAATTTAATAAAAAAAAACTACCTATGCTGCCCTACTATGACAATGCTAACGCCTTGTATAGTTCATTATTTAATTTCATACAAATCGAATACAATGCCGTTTTTACTTCTAAAACATTCTCTTTGAACAGTCGCAAGACTTTTAATGAATGGGCAACAGCAGGAATTCACCGCAGTAGACGAAGATTGTATGAACTTACAGTGAAAGGTCATACAATCATTCTGAGACATTTAAAGATTATGTTAAAAATTACTCAAAAATATTTAAAAAAGTGTGTCTTGCCGCCAAGTCATTACATTTGAGAAATAAAATTAAAAATGCCTCTAATAAAGTAAAAATGACTTGGAACATTATAAATAGTGAAACAGGAAAAACCAAATCACGTAGGTCTGACTACCAGCTCAACATTGATAATAAATTTATAACGACTAATCAGGAGGTAGCTGAAGTATTTGAAAAATTCTTTAGTGAGATTCCTACTTTAACTACATTGTCGCTGAATTCTTCTCCTGCTGTTGCCGAGACATTACTTAAGGAAAATGTAAGTGCTTGCACCACAATCTTTAAATTTCAGGCTGTATATGCAAAAGATATTATAAAATGTTTAAGACCATTGAACTTAAGAAAACGGCAGATCTATGGGGAATGTCCGTTGAAGTGACTGCCTCAATAAAAGATTCAATCGCACCTTATTTGTCAATAATTTTTAACAGTAGTGTAGATTCTGGCGTATTCCCTGATCTCATGAAACACAGTAAAGTCATACCTGTATTTAAATCCGGTAGTACTTCGGAGTTCGGACCCCACTAACTTTAGACCCATTTCTATACTACCAACACTTAGTAAAATTTTCGAAAAACTTCTTCTAGATCAGCTGTTAACACATTTTAACTTAAATAAATTATTACATCATAACCAGTTTGGTTTTACAAGGGGTCGTTCTACAACCGATGCTGGTGTAGAGCTGTCGAACATATATTTGAGGCTTGGGAAAGTTCACAGGATGCTCTGGGTGTCTTTTGTGATCTTTCCAAGGCTTTCGATTGCGTGAATCATGAAACACTGATCAGGAAATTGCGTCATTATGGCATTAAAAGTACCGCGCTTGACCTCATTAAGTCATATTTATCTAATAGAATTCAAAAAGTTGTAATTAATGGTGCTAGTTCTTCTGGGTCGACGGTATCTATGGGCGTTCCGCAGGGCTCGATTCTCGGCCTATTTCTCTTTCTCATTTACATTAATGATCTTCCTTACTTTGTAGGGAGTAAACACGATATAGGTTTTTATTTGCCGATGATACATCATTAATTTTTAAAATCAATCGACAGCTTGTTACACTTGACGAGGTAAATAATGCTATGTCAGAAATAGTCTATTGGTTTAATACTAACAATTTACTATTAAATGGTAATAAAACTAAATGTATGAAATTTTCAACACCTAATGTTCAACATTTGGGTGCTACCAATGTACTTATAAATGGGGGGGAGTTAGGCCTTGTGGATACGACTGTCTTTCTTGGAATAACTCTCGATGCAAAGCTTCATCCCAGTCCCCATATATCCAAACTTGCGAATAGACTAAGTTCTGCAGCGTATGCTATAAGGAAAATAAGATGTCTAACTGATGTAAAAACGGCTAGAATTGTGTATTTTAGTTACTTCCATAGCATAATGTCATATAGTATTTTGCTATGGGGGCACGCGGCCGATATAGAAACAATTTTTATTTTGCAAAAAAGGGCCATAAGAGCTATTTATAATCTAGATCTGAATGCATCTTTGAGAGAGAAGTTTAAAGAAATAAATATATTAACCTTAGCCTATCAATATATATATGAAAATGTTATGTATGTGCGTAGAAATATTAATAATTAATAATTTTGATAAGAATACTGATATACATAATGTGAACATTAGGAACAAACACAAGCTTGTAATGCCAGTTACTAGACTCCATAGAGTAAGTAACTCGTTCATGGGGCGGTGTATACGCTTTTACAACAAAATCCCAGTAAATGCGCAAAACCTGCCTATTAACAGGTTTAAGAAATTTATTAAAGAAAAACTTTATAAAAAGGGTTATTATAATACAAATGAATACATTAATGACAATAACCCCTGGGAATGAGTTGATCGCTCCCAAGCTATTTCTAAAAGGAAAAAAATCAGTTCTATAATTTTTGAATTTTTTGTTAAGAAAAAAAAAATAATCAACAAAAAGAGGATACCTACGGAGTTTCTTTCGCCTGTTTCTTCTCCGCTAGAGGAACCTCATTACGAAACGGTGGTATATTTAAAAAAAATATGACTATTGATAAATGAAATGTAAGTTTCTTATGTCGATGAATAAATGATTTTGATTTTGATTTATTATAAGACCAACATTTTCGCTACTTCACTGTATAACCATTCATTTGGAAATTAAAGTACAAATCTTTGCGCAAATTATTATTTATATTTTTTAATAATATTATTTTATTAAAAAGGGGAATTTAGGGGTTTTTTTACTTAAGCGTAAGGGACAAATATTTTCAAGAGTTGGTAGCACTGGTCTAATCAATTGGTAGGTGACTGTCACTGTCAATTTTTGTCATTTTCGACTATCAAAAAATGTCAAATGTTATGAAATAGATAATTAGGTATTTCTGAAAAAGTTTATGAACGTTATAAATGAATTAAATGTTGATTGGATATTCAATTATTTTATAAGATAAGATATAATAAAGCAATGGCGTATCATAAAGGTTGGCGTTATAGCGCTTTAATAGGGGGTCTTGTGGGTTTACTCGGCCTTACATTATACCCTATAGCGATCAGTCCAATGTTGGATCCCTCAGAATACAGTGTGTATAAAATTTTATTTAAATAAAGTCTTCATTGTTACTATTTTTCAATAACAGTAAATAAGTAATATATTTAGTTTCAATAAACTAAAAAAAAAAACTTACGATTTTTACAATTTATTAAAATATATATTATGTATATAGTGGTTGTAATAATATGTGAGATATTATTATATAATATTCCATTTCAGAAAAGATTCAAAAGGAGAGTAGAAAAAATATTAGGCAAGAAGATATACAACCAGGCAGTAAGTTTGTTTGTTTTAGTAAATAAGGCAAAAACAAAGTCTTAACACCTTAATCTGGCTACATTTCAAGTCTTTATATGTTGTTTAATTATTACAATAAAGACATTTTGAATTTGCCCAGACAGCCTGATAGCTGTGATGTGAGTGATGATTGGCTGTGATAGCTGTCTGGGTGGTTGCTTTTAATTCAAATTACTCGAGTAACCCGAGTTCAAGTCCCAATGAAATTGTTAATTGTAAGTTTTAAGTGAGGACATAACACATTCTCAGCTGTGTAGGAAAATATAGTTAAGTTACCCCACATATTTCTTTGAAATAAATATTATGCATATTTATTTATAATTATGTATATCTACAAAATGAGTTAACATGCTTGCAGTTAGTTTTCAAGATCATATTATGTAAAATATAAAGTTTTAGGTTTAGACCAGTCATCATCATCATCATCATCAGCTGCAAGACATCCACTGTTGAACATAGGCCTCCCCCTTAGAACGCCACAACGAACAACACTTTGCCATTTGCATCCACTGGTTCCCCGCGACTCTTATGATGTCGTCGGTCCACCTAGAGGGAGGCCAGTAATAATTGGTAATAAATAGTATTTTTAAAAAGAAAAACAGATTAAGCGATCGTGAGAAACTTTTACTTGGTGAATACTAGGTTGTATCTTAGCCAAGTATATCCTTACATAATTGATATGTGTCTATTTTTTATTTTGTGGCAGATTTTTTGTTACATGTGCATTTTATAATGTCCTTTTTTTAGATATGAAAGTTTGGTCTGACCCATTTGGACGCAAGAAGCCTGAAAGCCAAGATTAAGATGAGATTTATAATATAGTATAAGGTTTAATGTAAAAATATTTAATGTAAATAATAGGTACTGGACCCTTAAATAAATACATTTTAATTAAACATTTGTCTCATTATAACATACATACATTCTATGCATAACATACCTGTTGGAGATTTGGAGATATTGCACCAATCAATGAAGTTTAGTGTCATAGTACCCGGAGGACCGAACTTTGCTCGGTTTGTTTTTTTTTGGTAAATCATGTATTTTGGAAATTACATTTAGATACAAATTACTGAGTAATGAAATATGCATAATATTTTTCGATCTTACCGACTTAATAATAAGAAAATATGAACTGATGTTATTCACAAAAGAAAGAACTTTAAAAAAAAGGGAATAAAATAAAAAATTTTTAAATAAAGAAAGTAAGGATCTGGAATCGAAAAAAAAGTAAAAAATAAATGTGTAAATGATCGTGACGCGAACCACGGTCGTCTGATTTGGGGCCGCCCGATTACCGACCGAGCTATTATGACATTTTCTCTTGCGGCGAAATTTACCGTCATATTCGAATTATATTTTTCATTCCCTGAAAACAGGGATAAAAGGACATTTTCTAAAAATGAAACCTAGCTAGATTGATTTTTTCGCCCCCGAATCTACGCACATACTAAATCTCATGAAAATCGCTGGAGCCGTTTCCGAGATTCCGATTATATATATATACAAGAATTGCTCGTTTAAATGATAAGATTTGATCATTTGTTTCATAGAAGCTGATGTGTCAATCATGATAAAAAAAAAACAAAAAAAGACATTTGATTGAATGGATTGTATTGTAGTTGGCAATGAAAGGTTTGGACATCACTTAAAGCACTATTTGGAGAGAGTATAAAGAACAAACAATGATAGTTGTGAAGATGCAGTTGGAGTGGGAGAATTGTAAATAGAATTGACCAATCAAATGGCAGTCACTTTCTGCATCAGACGTCTAAAATTTCCAGAGTGTAAAAAATGTTTAAAAGGTCTTGTTTAGACATGTACCTATGCCAACTAGTGATGTTTATGTAAAAACACTGAATTGTCATTTTAAGATGGTGAAGTTGAATGCCTATTGAGCTGTGACATTACTAAGTTGAGAATACTGAGAAAATACTGGAATTATATACACCAGTGTTGGATGAACATATCATTGGTAGACAAGGAATGTGGCAGTCTTTCTTAAGCCATTTACTCTCTTAAAACCTATTCTATTCTGGAATTCTTACAATAATGGTATTGTTGTAAGAATTCCTGAACAATAGTAGACTACTGTTACAGAGTTGCTGTAATATTGTGCAAGTATGTGTGAGTCAGAGTAATTTAATACCCAGTAATTGTTTACAGCATCACTGAGTGTGTATATTTATGAGACTCGAGAAACGTGTAGAAACTGTGGTAGCGCCACGCAAAAGTGTTTGCTGTTGCAAGAATGGGTAGGTCCGTCCGGGTTAGTACCACAACCTCAACAAAGACCGACGTGAATTAGAAGTGTTACACTTCTGTGTTTCGTCTAGTGAGTGAGGTAGCCAGGCCCACTTTATTAAAAGATGGTAACAAAATCTGCAACCCTACGGGTATTGCATATGTCCATGGGCGGCCATTATCAGTTAACATAAAGTGAACCGCCAACTCGTTTGCCATTTTGTCACATAAAAAAAACCTAGACATTAAGCAATATGATCCAAAACACTGCAAAGTAAAAAGGTCTTTAATATTATCTTAGTCATCTACCTGACTGATATTAATAGTAATGGCAATGGGCAAGATGTGTGTCAAGTCATCAAAAAAGGGTGTAGGGCACTCTCCTTTTGAGTTTTGAAGACTATGTAAAACGGTCAAATGTCACTAAATGTGGAAAATGGACTGCATAATATAATATAAAGGCAAGGCGGAATGAAATAATGTGTCAGTTATGGCACATTAATCAATGCAACACAATGATAATAGAATCAAGGTTAATTTTAATTTAATAAGAAAAAAATTATACAAAAAGATTTTTTATTGTGAAAATTGAAAACAACATAATTATATGGGATATGTCTCCACTCTCTTAACACTTCTATATAAAACAGTGGAGTCCGTCATTGTCACAAATTTTATAAAAATAATCCTAAATTTCGTATTTACATTTAAAGTGTGCTTTGTAGCCAAATTTATAAATCTATATAATAAGTATTGCTATTCAAACCTAAGCAGACAGATGTCAATAATATATTTCTATTTCTCTAATGTCAGTATATAAAAACTAGATACCATTGTATTTACATAATTATACACATGTTCCATAAGATTTGTCTCAGTGTTATACATGAATAGCACAATATTTGTATTGTACTTATTACAGAAATCTTGTATAAATTCTCTCAGTTCTAATATTTCACTAAACATTAACAAAAATCATTAACAAATTAGATTATTACTGACAGCAGAGGTCTTTCTTGGTCTGCCCTGAATGTGGGACTTTGAATAAGATGTTTAACAATTAGAAAACAAAGATTTTTAGTTTAACCATTTTCCAATTATACCTAGAATGAGCAAATGCAAAATGGTACATTAAATTTGTTTAACTTATATGTTAAAGAAAATTATATATTCTCACAATATTATATAAAATGATTCAAATAACAATTATACATAATAAATTGCACAAAATAGCCATAATACGGAACTCAATTATATTAATAGTATGAATATTTCCTTATACAAAAATTATATGAAGACAATGCATCACAAATATATTATTATTATGTACATTGCGCGTTTAGAGCTATTAATTTAGATAAATATAAAAACACTATATAACTGTTCTTTTCATCCATACATCTCACTCACTCAAATCATTTATTTCCATGCAATTTAAAGTTTCCAATTAAACCCTTACAATGGCTAATTTCTATTTGTATCAATTATTGGTACCTTTAAATTTATTGAATAGGAAAGCTTGTGACTAAATATTCCGCCATCTTGTTTAAGAGCATGCCTCAATGTGTTTGCCACTTTGACCATCGCTTTATAATAAGGAGATTCTATGCATGTCCATACGTCGTATATACCAATGGCGCTAACAATTTCGTTCAAAATGGTGCTTACATTCCAATCCATGTGAACTTATGTTATTAACATGCAATAACTTTCAATACTACCTTTTCTATATTGAAGGAATTCTACCATAATAAGCTCTTTTTAAAAATGATAACTTTTACTTATGAATTTGTCAATAAGATAAACATTTAAGACGATAAAATGTATGCAATAAATAGTGCCATTGTTTTTGTGTTATGAAAGTCTGCACTCTGCAAGCTTATAAGGCACAGTCCTACAGAATAGAAGCTTGCTTAACACCTTGACTTTAATTATTAGTACCTAAATTGTTTTACAGAGGAGTTTGGATCATGTGTGTTATCACTCCTATTTTTCGCACATTTGTAATGTAAAAGTATCCATATAGAAAACTTATAACGATTGAGCTCCATAATATCAGAAGGATCTCGGTATCTACGAAAAATTTAAGCCTAAACGAAATTATTAACTAGGCCTTATCGTCTTACAATGAAAACGGAACACATATCTGCTGTAGCATTCTTATATTGGAATAAAAAATAAAACAGATACAATATCACAAATAACTTGAAATAGGGTAGATAAGAAAAATTTAGTTACTTATGCAGAAAAAAAGGTAAATGTAAATAACTTTAACTCCGGCGTAATTCAATTAAAATAAATTTTAAACGATAGAGAAAAATCACTTATGAATTTATCGACAAGCAGAATTCGGCGGTCGCTTATAGTTTTCGAAAAAATACATAATGAAATAGTGTGATTTTTACTACAGAAATCCGCCATTTTTTTGTTGTCAATATGTCAATTCAGCTCGTATTCCTTTGTGGTCATAAAAAAAAAACCTAACATCGAAGGTTAAGGCGGGAGCTCCGCTCCGGCCTGAACCTTCTAACCTAATCTATCCGAGTCGGATTCGCTCTGTGTCGGTTCTGTGACTCATTAAATTTAAAAAAATCGGAATATCGATACGTGTATGATGTCGCCCGCTTCCTATATTTATCATGTTGGCAGAACTGTGTATTGAGTTTTTGAAGTTAAAAAAATAAAATGGTGGATTTCTTAGTACAAAAAACAAGCTTTAAATATTTTTTTCTCGAAAACTATGAGCGACCGCCGAATTCTGCTTGTTGATTAATTCATTAGAGATTTTTCTCTATCGTTTAAAGTTTATTTTAATTGAATTACGCCGGAGTTAAAGTTATTTACATTTACTGAAAAAAATTGTGAAGTACTTAATATTCATCTACGATTTAAACGTGTTCTAAAGCAGTTTAGTGTGCAAGAACAACGGAGACGTGAGGATTTTGCTACTACTCAAAAATTATATTTACCAGGAAACTATCCATAGTCATGTTAAGCAATTCATGAAAGGATTTTCTCATTATTTATACAAGATTAAGGTTGTTAGGGGAAAAGCGAATGAGGTTATAATTTGGAAATTGGCGGAGAACATCATTATAAGATTTACTTCACAGCCCTTCACGCCCTATTATTCGTCTATCGTTAATAAATTATACGCGTATATAACTTTTCCAATTTTCGTCCTTTTGAAATTTTTATCACTAAATAAGATTTAACCCTGTACGCACTTAGTCGCTTTGCTTAAATATATTAACACGTTTGCGCAGTAGCAAATTCCACAGATAATAATATCACACTTTTAGCACGATTATTTTAAAAAAAATCCGCCATAATGACGGCGGCTATTTGCCGGCTTAACTTTATGCCACAGCGGTTTTTACTGGATATTATTAGTTCAACACTAAGCAATTTACTTTAAATCAATGCAGAAATTCGTCGTCGTCACCAACCTGAAATGTGAAAAATCAGAAAAGGCTTTAGTGTTTAATATCTATGCACGTTGAAAATTTTAGTACTAGCACCAAATTATTTCTTATCTTTATTATAATTTTTGAGACTCACCTGCAGAAAATATTCAAAATCACTTCTATGGCAGTTACCTTCGGTTGAAAAGGTGAACTTATGAAAGGTTCCATCTTCGCATATCACTGCAATGCAGATAAATTAAGGTAAGGAATTTGACTCATAAACTTCAATAAACATATAAAGAGAGAAATAATAATTCGTCCAATGCTTTAGGAGAGATATTTGAATTGTTGATGGATTTTTATGTTAAGTATTAGGCATACTTAAGGAAATGTCATTTAACACAAATCATCAATCAAAGTACCCATTAAGGAAAAGTCTTTAACATTTTGAGTAGCTATATTGATTGGGGCGTTTCAATTCTTCGCGATGACGAAAGAAGACGGGTCTACTGTTATAAACCGTTTCATAAAGAAGTTCATTTAGGGGAAAATAAATGTACACTAAATCAGCATTTAAATCGCCGAGTAATCGACAACGTTTGCATTCCCTGCTTGACTCAGACGAGACTATAATTTAATTAGAATTTAACCGTGGACAGTGAACTGGTCTAATTCTAAACGTCCACATAGGAAGAACAGTTTACGAAAACTGTTTCTACGTTCACCGCTGCCGCTATACTCACCAACGGCGGTGCGGTCGTCGCTGAAAGCGCGGCGGGAGACTTTAGTTTACCCGTGGACAGTGAACTGGTCTAACTCTAAGCGTCGACATAGGAAGAACAGTTTACGAAAACCGTTTTTTTTTTTACGTTCACCGCCGCCGCTATACTCACCAACGGCGGTGCGGTCGTCGCTGAAAGCGCGGCGGGAGACTTTAGTTTACCCGTGGACAGTGAACTGGTCTAACTCTAAGCGTCGACATAGGAAGAACAGTTTACGAAAACGGTTTTTACGTTCACCGCCGCCGCTATACTCACCAACGGCGGTGCGGTCGTCGCTGAAAGCGCGGCGGGAGACTTTAGTTTACCCGTGGACAGTGAACTGGTCTAACTCTAAGCGTCGACATAGGAAGAACAGTTTACGAAAACGGTTTCTACGTTTCTACGTTATACTCACCAACGGCGGTGCGGTCGTCGCTGAAAGCGCAGAGGGCGCGCTGGGGCGGCGCTGCGGCGGAGCAAAGATGGCGGCACGCGCCGCGAGCGGTCCACACGTGCAGCGTCCCCTTGTCCGATACGCAGCACACCAGCGACCCCTCCGGGTTGAAGTTTATGCTGCGTTCGCGCGGACAGTTTTTTTTTAAACGCGATTTTATCGCTTAGTCTTAATGTAAATGAATACGTATGCGAATGCCTTAGCGGCGCAATCGGTTAGCTGTTGGCTTATGCACAGAGGGTAGGTTCGATTCCCACTCGGGATAAGTATTGAAAAAAGCTAGCCAAGTACATAAGTGTAATGCAAATATTCAAATTATCACAGTTATTTGAAAGAGACCATTGTAAAACAATATTAAAATTCCTAAATGATAAAAAAATCCTGATATTATCTTCATCGGGATTGTCTGGAAATTTATTTGCCATAAGAATACTACTTTCTCATTTTATAAATCTTACTACTTTCTAATTTTATAAATCGTCATGACATTCTTAAAGACTTTGTAGGTGGGTTACAATGTGAAAGATTAACTAAAAACTAGTTGGTGTTTTTTCACACCCAATGATGGCCATAGATCACTCATACAGCTGAAGTTATGGTGATGAGATCGGAGTAATCGGTAGGACAGGCATCAGGTGGTAGAAAAACTAGATTAATCAATGATAGATACAACAACCACTGCTGTGATTGTTGTCTAGTTGATGATTAATACACAAGTCATTCATTTTTAATATAGGACTGTAAAAGATCTTATGTTAGATCCCCATTTACATAGTCACGCCTTAACAGAAGGGGTGGATAGAGTAAGGTGGCGCTGTTAAAGTTTATTAGAATAGACGTAACGATTCTTACCAATAGACGTCCGCATAGTCCGACCCGCGCCTCAGCTCGTGCAGCATCTGCTTGGTGCTTGTGTCCCAGAGGCGGATTATGGTTCCCCTTTTTGACGCCGTGGCCAGTTTGGCGCCACTGGGCGCTAAGCTGAGGCACACAAGGTCACTTTGGTGGCAACTGACCACCGCCGGCGAGCTGGACTGGGCACCCTTCACCGCCCTTGACACATCCTGGAGAGACATACGTTTTGTTTTCTTGAGATACGTTGCGTGAAAATAATTTGATAATTTTTAAACTATATTAAATAAAATATATAATATAAAATTTGTTGTGTTATTAAAAATAAAAGAGCTATTGAAATAGTGTTGAAGAGCGATCGGATGCTGTCAATGACGGAAGTGCGATTTTAGAGTTTCTTTTTTTTATATAGATGAAAGATCATAACAGGCTTCAAAGTGATTTTAAATGCTTTAGGTACATTTCAAATTCTATTCTTATGATCTGTTGGTTTATTAGCAATAAAATAACACCCTTTAGGTTTTTTGAGTAATTCAAATTATAGAATAAGTTAAAACATAATAACTTGCGCTTGCGTTTTATACTATAAGGAAAAATTCAAAAGGAAATGGCGGTTCTAGATTCCATGACTTTTAGAACCAGTGCATACAACAGAGTAGACATTAAAGCTTCAAACGGAACGGAAGTGGTCGCCGTTGTCGATATTGGACAAAAAAGACCTTATTCCTGAATAGTTGGTACATATACCCAGAATATTTGATAGGTCATAACAATTGAAAAAACCATTTTTTTCTCTCTAAATATCACCCCTACTTCCCACTTTTCAAAGGCCGCTTCGGATATCATTTAAGTGTCCTGTTACTTGGTGATTAATCACTATTTAGCGCACACCCTGTTTGAAATATCTGTGTGCACGCCACTTGTATGATACAGCATATGATAATCAGTACATATGTCATATGTCATACTGTCATTATGTCTACAGTAATAACAATTTTTTCTTCAGAAAGACAAGAAAATATTTTTTTTTAAAATTTTTATTCTGCTTATCTCAGTACGTAAGATTAAACATTAAAATTTGTAGAAAAAATAACGAAAAGTCTCTTGCCGCTGTAGGAATCGAACCCACGTCTTCGGGATTCACGCCCTGACGCTTTAGCCACCAAGCTAAACGGCTGATTGCGACATCGACGAAAATGTCAACGATTTTTATCTACAATGTTTTTTTAATATTTGAAGCAATGCTTAGTGGCTAAAGCGAATCCCGTAGACGTGGGTTCGGTTCCCATGGCGGCGAAAAATTTCTTGTGCTTTTTTCTAGAAAATTCGATAGCTTACGAGCAGCTGCAAGGAGCCCTTTCGATGCGCGGGCGCAGCTAGGACCTGCGCGGCGTTCGCGTCCGTGGCGAGGGCGCAGAGCGGTCTGCTGGCGGCAGGGGTCCGAAGCAGTGCCACGCGCTGCAGCGACGGCAGAGACAGCACCTGGATGCTGGACGAGAGCACCACGGCGACCCTGAAACGGGAACGCTCGAATGCAGTTTCCGAGTGGAAGCTTCTGAGCGCGTGAGGGCAAATTTGGATGGGGGGGGGGGGGGGGTTGGTCATCGGTTCGCGCCACCGACACTAATGTCACGTCTGTTTCGTCATTGACGTTGGTGATTGGGCCGATTTACAGTGTGCTCACAAACTGCAGACTTGTTTAATCTACTATGTTTTATGTCTGCATAGATCGGACACAAAATCAATAATACAAAAACTGACGGTAGCCCAGGTTAACTTTGACAATCAGACGTCTAACACCTCAGTCTGTCCCGTGACCATGAACGCTGTAAAGGGTTCGAAACGTCGGGAACTAAAATTAAAAATAAACGCGATAAATCCGTAAAATTAGTTTCATTTATAATGTGTAATCGCGTAAATACAAGAAATTATTATCATGAAATTACTTCAATAGGGAAGTTAACAAATATGTATATCTATATGTCACTAGAAAGATATAGAAAAACACCAGAAATTTTTATGGACGTAGCCAGGGAGGGCGTTTTGGGGTTTTAAACGTAATATTAAAATTTTTATAATATTTAATTATCCATACTAATATTATAAAAGCGAAAGTAACTCTGTCTGTCTCGCTTTCACTCCAAAACTAATGAACTGATTTTAATGAAATTTGGTACATTCTAGAGCCTGAGAAAGGACATAGGCTATTTTTTAATTGGAAAAAAGGTATTGTAAAGGGTTGAAAGATATTTATTTAAGGGATTCAATGCGAGCGAAGCCGCGGGCGAAAGTCTATTAATATTATAAATTAGGTGGTTAATTTCTCAGATACGGATCGGATTTCATTAAGGTAATTTAATCAAAAATCGAAATGCTTGCACTGTTTTAATGGGTATTCTTACTTCTTTGTAAATTAACAACAATTTTTAATATTGATGTCACTTTTCTGTTGTTCTATTTTCTTGAGCTGAAATATATACTGGACCGCTGATACTGAAATATGGCTCGTTCTTTGACGTTTTTTTAATTTCTTACTTCAAATGTATCAGTATGATCTTGTTTTTCCCTTTTACATTCGCATTTTATCAAATATGGTAGAAGTGGACAATAATGCGTTGCAGGCGATAAACATTATTCCGTCTAACTACATTACAAGGCAAAATGACATTAAGGAACCAAAAGTTTGTATTTGGACTGCCGCGAATAACATCGCATTTGGAATACGAATTAGCCGTGCGAACGCTAGATTTGAATTTGGAATTAGTTTCTTGCGGTATTCGCGTACAAAGATGTAGCGCGTTAATAAATAATTGAATAAAATAAACGTTTTTTTCTATTAAACCCTTTTTTATTTGAGAAGGTGGCAAGCGAGCAGGCGGTTTACCTGAGGTTAATTGAGAGCACAGCTTGGTCTAGTATGGTTTAAGAAACGATATTAAAGTTGTATTCTGGTCCGATGCGTTTTTCTTAATCTTTATAATTTTGGGGACTTTTTTTCTTGTTAGTCCCGTCGTAATATACACGACAAACATAACCACCAACCAACTTCCGCATAATTCGGCATACTCAAAAAACTTTGTATTATTTCTACATGTAAACGTATTAATTTCAAATTTATAACAACTTATTTTTTAACTTTGTTTTAGGCCCAATCCACCAGCAAATACTACTCATTATCCACAACATCACAACATCCTACAGATAGTTGAAGTAGTTTTACGCATGGGACATGCAAAACTTCATCCAATTATAGCCTGTTCAAGATTAGAGTAATTAAGCGATGAATGACGTGGTAGGGCCACGCAGCAGCCTCGGCTGTTGCACGAATGGGCAGGCTCGTCCGGGGAAGTAACACGACCTCACAGAAGACCAGCGTAAAGTGGAAGTATAATACTTTCGTGCTTCGTCTGCTGAGTGAGGTGGCCGGAGGCCACTTTCCAAAAAGTTTGTCAACGCGTCTGCAAACCCTCGGGTGTAGCAGTTGTCCATGGGCGGCGGTATTCACTTAATATCAGGTCTGCTCGTTTGGCAACTTTCCACATTGTCAGTTACTTGTAAAAAAGGTCACTTAACTCCGATACAGTAGACAACAGTTAAATACATTTTAGTCAATATAAGCACTCCGATAGGTACTCCAAATGTACCAAAATGTTTAAAAGATTCTTAAGGTTTTATTTTCAACTGGCTGTATCTAGTCACCGTTAAAGTCATTTCGGTAAAAAAAAAGCTTAAAACATTTTTCCGGTCGATGGTGCGACATTTCATTCGAATGCAACGGTGTGTTAAATTTCAAAGCAAGTCACGAGGAGCTTGAATAGATTAAACATTTTAAAAGAACGAACATTTAAACTTTGTTTTGTATTAATTAATATTCGATATTAGCCCGTATCACAGTACCCGGTGTACATGATGTAAACCAATATCATTGTAGTTAAATGATATCGCTTGGTGATTTCTAGACGAGTAGTTGTGCGTTTTATTATAAGACAAAGTCCCTCAGTGAAGAACCCAACCACAAAAAAATAGCAGTATTAATTAGCATAATGCGAGATAATGTCAGTCAACTGCGCAATACTCACGTACAAAGTATACTAGGGAGCCTAGACGAAGGTCACAATGACTTTCCACCGAAGTTTATACGAACAAGTGAAGTGTCCCCTCTGGGTCTCAAGTTTGTTTTGAGAATAGGTGGCAAACAAGAAAGTAACCCATAACCAGAGAAAGAAGATGATTGCAGATGCGTTGAACCCACAAAGAGAACAAACTCTGATCAGCTAACTCAGAGAAAACGCAAAAGTATGTGTATTGATTAATACACATATTTTAAGATGTACTCACCTAGAGTAAACAACAGTCTTGAAAATGCATTCCATTAGTAGTCGATTTTCGACTACTAATTGAATGTATTGTCGAGGGTGTACGTTGTGTATGCGGTGTGTTGGTTTCGCCGCATTCTTTTTTTTTTGTTGTGAAAAGTTGGCAAGCGAGCGAGCGGTTCACATGACGCGAAGTAATTATGGGCATGGATATCTGCTGCACCTGATGGCGGCCGTTATCACTAAACATCAGGAACTACCAGGTCGATTGCCACCTTTTCACATAAGAAAAAAACTCTTCTTCGAACTTAATACGTTATGTTTTCTGTTAATTCGACATGTCGTAAACATTATGATAGGATTGCAACGCAACTTATTTATTTACACATAAAATTTTGTTATTTGCAATAATTTTGCAGCAGCCAACGTGCGGTAATAGTCATTTCTCTTAATCCTGGACAATGCCGATGATACTCATTAAAAAAATATTACATTAATCTTTTTCAGTAACGATCTGGTATAATATGGAAGTAACATGATTTTAATACCTACTTTAATTCGAAGCGCAATTTTAAACGTGGGTACGTACATAAGTACGTGATTATTTTTTAACTATATATTTATTGCATGAAGTGTAGTTTTCGAGCCAGATTTTATCATATAAATGCAGCAAACAATAATATTATATAAAAATACGACGTAGACATGACACTAGCGCGCTTAACAGATTCAAATTACGGCAATTGGTGTAATTTCTCTTCCGATAGGTCCGATTTTATCTGTGGTTAGCGTTCTTCCGTATCTCTTTCCGTATCGTACGTTCCATACCATTTGTTGCATTGACTTTTAGTATAATAATAAGTAAATAAAATAAGCCAAGATAATAATACAAAGCGGAACGGTTTCTAAACGCGGAACGGTTTCTAAACGCGGAACGGTTTCTAAACGCGGAACAGTTTCTAAACGCGGAGCAGTATGGACACGGGTCATCTTTATTAAAATATCATTGGCAGGAACTATAATGAGCGATCATATAAAGGAAATGCCTTCAAAGTAAAAGTCCGATACGTCCGAAAGGAAATCCATTTCATACTAAATGAAGCTTTGTTGGAGGACTTTGTAGCGTTCAATTTCAATTTTACTTGGGATGTTTCGGATAATTTGTGGCGTTTATTTATGGTCAATGGATAAACTAAAGTCGATGTCTTAATTCTTTATGCTGCCGTCAGCTTTAAGATTTTAACTTTACACAGATTGAAGCAGAAACTGTTAAGTGTCTTGTAACCGTGATATTATTGGGTATGTGTTCCGATTTCATTTATCAATTACTTGGCTTTGACAACAAGCTTGGCTTGAGAGGCACGGCTTAGTTTGATTTTGATGTTTTACTATCCCGATAAAATCACCAATAGTTTCAGTTGCCAATGTGAAGTATATGCGTAAATATAAAGAATCATAACTTTTTTATATATATTTTGAATTTGTAACATTAATGAAACTCCAGACAAATGAATACTTTAAATATCAAATCACCTTACAACAAAAAAATGCAATGGTTCTTACCTTCGTGTGAGACATTCAATAATAAAAAAAAAAATGAAAAATCTAATAAATGAAGAAATTACATTTCTGATTAATGAATGGAATTAATTACTGTAAAGGGGATCATATAAAAGTCAGTAGTAAAGCGGTTATTTGCCATAAAATTGATCTTATCACTGACAAGATAACGCTACGGTTGTACTCTATGACGCTCTCCGCCATAGTTTAATAGCTAAATAATAAGAATTGCCTTTAAGCGCTTATTAAACGGTCAAATGTAACATTCTAATTACAAGATACGGCTGCATTGTTTCGCATAGTAGCATAAATCATTATTGCTCACGGAGCGACTCTATCAAAGGCTTATGCGGGGAAAACAATCACAAGGGTTATTAAAATATGTGACGTGACACCTGCATGCATCGCATTCATTCTGTGCACCTCAGCTTAGTAAAAATCGATAATAAGAACGCGAGGAACAATAGCTTCCTTCCGTTATTCTGTGTTAGTCGGTTAAGGTCGTTACAATCTTATCGAGCATATACTGCATTTAGCACCGACGTCGTTCCGACGATATTAAAACAACATTGAAAGTGTATATCGAATGCGAACACGTGAACGTTCCAAACATAACTTATTTTGGAAACTTAACAACATTTGAAACACAAAGAGATCATTTATTATATAAATTAAATAGGTAATAGAGCCCTTTTGTTTGACGAGAGTTAGTGTTATCGATAAAAAAAAAGTCATCATCAATAATTGTTGATGATTGAGACCATAACGTATCAAAATACAAAAAGGAATTGCTAGTTATCACAATATCAAAATATCACTACAAGTAAACAATGCAATATTTGTGAATACACTCAGAAATACGCAAAAATAATATTACAGATATACACAACGTGTCGTTACAACCGCGACAATAAACAAACACACTTCTAATGCTACTTGCCAATAGTCATAAAAAAATATTAACGTTAAAAAATCCATAATAAAAAAAAATTTTCAAACAAACTAATTAAGTAAAAAAGAAACAACATTTGTAACATTCTTTACAACTACAACTGACTGATTCATATATTCAGACTTTCATTCGTTGCGACAGCGTCGCATAGCAAGCCTCTCCTTTTAACAGTATGTTTTGTCTCTTTTAATTCATTCAACCCATTCGTATGCTTTGTGACCTTTACAAATGAACTTTACGTTACAGTTTTATACGTAAGGGTGTTCTAAAATTCATTGTTTTGGAAAATTAAATAACTCGGTAAAAATTGATGTTTAAAGAATGTAAATTTTTAATACAATTTTAAAAATTTATCCTCTATATGTGTGTTCATTTATTGTCGCGATTGTAACGACACGCTGTATATGCAATAAAATATACAAATCTTGTATGGTCTCGACCTAAGCTTTTCGCATATAAATTAGTTAGGTTTGTTACTGTTAGTTTCCTTGAAGAGTTGAAACCAATAGGATGAATTTTATGATGGCTTAAAGTGATATAAACATAATTATGTGGAAAATAGTAATAATTTTCTGTTTTAAACCTTAATTTTCAAGTCTCCAAAGTAGTTATATCATAACACAGGGCAAGACCTTGTACTTGATTTAGTAGTGCAGGCGTGACGAGATTTGAATACCTTTTAGGATTCAACCAACAGCGATGTACAGCGGTTAACTGTTGGCGCTTGCTCGTTACGCGTCGTCAGCCCGCGTTAATTGATTCGATTTATTACGATGGCAATTATAATCTAATAAACTATATTAAAATCTCCAGCTCTTAGCGCTTGGCAACGACTTCAAAATACTGAATTTAGACTTTGGTTACAATTAAGCGCACCTAATAGCTATTTGCATATTGGAAAGAGTCGTATTACTTAAAAGTGTTTTTTTTTTCTTTTAATTAGGTAAGGTGACAATCTTGCAAGAGGTTCTAATGATAATAAGTGATTATCGCCGCCTCCATCCATAATTCCAATGGATTGCAGGTTCTTTTCAAACTTTTCAAAGGATGAACATAAGTTTGCGAAGTGAGGTTGCCCATGGTAACCAAATTGAACGTTACAAAGCGTTAACTACGCATGTAAAGCGAAAGGTAAAATTGCGAAAGCACATAACACAAACCTATGCTTTTTTTTTAATGTTAAAAGTTGCCAAACGAGCAGACTGTTCACTTGATGTTAAGAGAATACCGTCGCCCATGGATATCTGCTGCACCCGAGGGTTTGCAGATGCGTTGACAACCTTTTTAGAAATTGGGCTCCGGCTACCTCACTCACCAGACGAAACGCGAAAGTACTAGACTTCCACTTAACACCGATCTTCTGTGAGGTCGTACGTACCCGGACGAGCCTGCCCATTCGTGCAACAGCCGAGGCTGCTGCGTGGCCCTACCACCGTTAAAATGTGCAACCACAGTTTTAATAGCTCGTGCCGTGTGTTTAACACGACGTTGACTATTATATTTGAATAAGACGGTAAAAGTAACTAAAGACAGAGGGCGTGCAAATGCAAAATGGTTGCTTCAACCAGTTTTTGTTTTTATGTACGAGATTAATTTACCGATTTTAATAATAGGGGCAATAGAAAAAGGAACGCCTCGGAACATTGGAGAAGAGAAAATACTTTTTGGACCTACAATAAGACCTTAAGTTAAGCTCATATTGAATAAAGATATTTTGACTTCAATGAATAAAAAAGGATTTCGAAGACACTATGCCAAAATGAGAAGGTAGTGTATTTCCTAGCCTGAAGCCCTAGACTAGCATAATATCGACCATTTTGGAAGATTACAAGCAAGATGGCAAGCACGTATGAGAAGAGGAAGAGTGACTGACTATCTACCCCTCCGCCTCTAAATTATACATTTAAGAATCTTATATTCTTCCTTTACAAGTAAAAAGAAAGAAAATAAGTTTCTGGGATCTATAATTTTGAAGCTATGATTGTAATATTTTAATATTCATAGTTGTATATTAAAATATTAAAATTTATATTGTAAATAAATATATTTTGATATTCTAGTTAGTGCACTGTATTATATGACTGTGTTTTGTTGAATATGATATGCATTTAAATGTATAATAGCGACCTAACTTATGCATGAATTATACATTTAAACCTTCCTCTTGAATCACTCTATCTATTAAAGAAAACCGCAATAAAATCCGTTGCGTACTTTTAAAGATCTAAGCATACATAGGTACAGAGAGACAGCGGGACGACTTTTATTTCATACTATGTAGTGATATTAAAGGAGCGTATAGCCTTACTTGTCCTTCCTCGCTCTCAGCGCTCGTATCGGCGACTTGAACATCACCTCCGCCCGGAAACTCCGCCGCTGATCGTCCAGCAGCATGAGGCAGCAAGGGCGCCTCGCTCGAACCACCAGCAGCCAGTTCGTGCGAAAAACCATCTCGCAGAGTGACACCTCGCCGAGTTCCTCCTTGCCTGCATCGATATTTTCTCTGTGGTAGGGCCACGCAACGGACTTCGCTGTTGCACGAATGGGCAGGTCCATCCGGGGAATAACCACGACCTCACAGAAGGGCGGCGCGAAGGAACTGTTACACTTCTGCGTTTCGTCTGGTGAGAGGTAGCCGGAGCCCACTTTATTAAAAGGGTCCCAATGCATCTGCAACCCTACTGGTTCAAAAAGTCCATGGGTGGCGGATATCACTTAACATCACGAGAACCGCCAGCTTCCAACATAATAAAAATCGATTTAGCGCGTATTGCAGGTTAGTACCGGATTTGGGTGCTGCGGCTGTTCAAAGACCCTTATCCCACAGGTATGGGTGTTAATTTGGCGCTTAATAGAAGTATTATTCAGTACAAGTCCTGTACCAAATATTACTAATAGTACTATCGCAACTGTACTAGGGGTTCTAGTAATACGAAAAAGGAGAAACAACCACCTATAGGTTCATCTAGAAATTATCGTCGTGCCGATGTTCCCAATCCCAAAACATTTATCCCAATCGCAAATATCAAAATCCCAATACATTTATCGATCTCTATGAAATCGATTTTTTTCGATTGTGACCTAGAAATCTACTTTATTGTATTTCATATTATGTTTATATTAACTTGGCTTGATATTTTAACTGATAACAAGTCCCGAAATTAATAGATATGCTTAATTTTAAATTTATGTTTTTTGTTTCCGTTGTCATTTTATAAACCTGATACATTTAATTAGATTTAAAAATTACTTTGTTTAATCTTTTTTAATAGTTTAAATACACAAAAACTTCTCCGTATTCTTTGTTAAATCTATTTTTATAGTGCGAATACACAAAGGTCAACGCACTGATATTACTACGACATAGATACTTCGTATCTTCGTAGTATAGGTAAGAAAAAAGTATAAAAAAGCTATGTATTCAAGAGGTTAATCATTAATATATTATACTGTATTTACGTAGTAGGTACGTAAGCGGAGACCACTGTCGTACGACGATACATGATACCATTAAAATTCTGGAAAATAACATGGTAATTAGTCAAAGTAACCAGCATTAAATTGGCAACTGTACGCAAAGCATTTTGATCGTTTGCATAATTAATTAACTAAAACATTATAGTATGACTAACTAAAAACATTTAAGTAAAGAAATTTGAATTAAAAATTAGAAGGGAAACGAAATTTGTATATTATATATATTATGTCTATATATTTTAGCTTTCAGATATGTGAAAAGGTGCATATTTATGGAGAGCAGACAATATACATGTATATTAAGAAAATAAATAATTATGTTTTTTGGGGTTGACACTAATTAATACAAATTTGTTGTTGACAGAGTCTTACAAGAGCAAATTCCTATATTCAAGGGAATCAGTTGCCATTTTTAAATATAACAAATTATTATGTTTTTAAAAATGAATTTATATTGAAAAATGAAGCTATTTTTAAATAAAAATAAAAGTCAATGTACAAAATACAATCTTTTCTTTTATCTGAAGAGTATGAACTTTTCATATATCCAATGTTACAGCCTGCTGCTATCTCAACCTCCGCTAAAGTTTTCATTAAGGTTTTATGAATATTATACAAATGCAATTCTAAACCATATAAAAATACTAGCTACCCACCCTGGATTTGCAAGGGTGCAATGTATTATACATATAAACCTTCCTCTTGAATCATTCTATCTAGTAAAACAAACCGCATCAAGATCCGTTGCGCACTTTGAAATATCTAAGCATACATAGGGGCAGACAGACAGCAGGACAACTTTGTTTTATACTATATAGTGATGTGGTAATACTTACTATAGTGCGCCTTCTCAACAAGGGGATCCACATTGTAAACACGTAGGCCAGATGTTAGGCAGCAAGTGAAGCAGCCTGTGGTTAGGTTAACATTTATGAATATGATTAATTGATAACATTAAGAATGAAAAACTTTGAAAATAATATTGCAGAAACAATTATATTGAAATTTATACAGATACTTTTTAAGTAATTTTTTTAATTTCTACTGTGTTCAAACCCTAAGAAATAAAAATTGTATATGTGAAGATACAAACTGTTTCAAAATTACTTTATTTTTAGGCAATTAATGATAGGATATAAATGTCATTATAATTTTACACTTAGGTTTAATATTTTACCATCTTTCTCACAGAACACTAATTCTGTTTATTAAATTAAGCACAGTTTAAGTTTTAAATGGCTGATGTAATTCATTTTTTTTATATTTATCATAGTTTGTTTGTGTTAGACAGACCTGTGTAGATGAAAATAATTTTAAATTTGTTTTGGTTGTATGAAGTTTTGTTATGAAATTACATTTTCTTCTAGAATGTATCAGACACATTTTTGTTATAACGGAAAATTGAATTATGATACATTTTCATTAGTTTTATTTAATATTAGCTATGATTATAGATTATTCTTTTTTAGTTAAATTGAGAGTGACAATTGGGTCATAAAAAAGAATAATCCATGAATAATCAGTGATTAACATTAAGTCAATACTTATTAATGTGGTAATGACAACACAGTATTAATTTACATTCATACCATATAATTTTTAGTTTTGTCCTTTCAGCTCTGAAAAGCAGTATATTTATAAAGGGCTGACAATAGAAGTTGCTTGAGGATTGGTTTTTATAATTGGTGCTAGAACTTACACTTTCTTATCTCAATTATTATAATTAATTTTAAACTACTTAGGAAAACTAAAATAATATCTAATTACAGTATGTTGATAATTATTCTTTTGGAAAGTTATATTAAATGAAATTTATTTATTAAATACTAATTTTAATAAATAATAACAAAGAAAGTTAAATGGTACAAATTAAGAAACATTGCCAATATCATCTGTTAATTTTAATCCAATAAATAGTTAAAATTTGTTATAAATATTAATAGAGTATAGTCAGTACCCAAAGGTACAAATTTTCTGGGTACAGAAATAAATAATAATTTTAACCGAATAATTTAATAGGATAGTTTATGTTCACTTATAAACTTTATTGCATAGATTAATATTCTACAGGCGTGCAGTTGATTATGGCACGACAATTTTATATATTGCGTCTTTAATACCTAACAGTAACACAACAGCTTAGATTGGCCTAACAGTAACAGCGTACAAACAATAGTGAACAGAGTTGGTGTAAATGAAAACACTGCGTGGGTGTGCACCTAAATATATAAACAACACGTGGAGTAGTGACGGGCTGCAGCGTGGCGCAATGCAACTCGCAAACAACAAAAAACCCGATCCAAAATCTTTACTGACTTGCACACCCTTCGTCACAGGCGCTTAGATCATCAACTTCATAAATAATATACCACGCTAACCACACGAGAACAAAGAACGCGGGTTGACGAACTAGGAAATAACTCAAACCTTGGTCCTGGTTAAACCCCAGGCTTGTGATACCGCTGCTCCTCCGACGCGCCATGTCTCTGCCACCGTAAATTTATCATAAACATTTAGTCGTTTTTTTATCAATTGTCTCAGTGGACATTTTCACACTGATAATTTAAATACGCACATTTGTTGTGTTACATGTTCCCAGTGTGTGATACACAGCTGATTTGATGACTGATGACAGCAAAACATAACGGTGCTGCCATATTTAGGAACACAAATAACTTAAAAGTGACTATTTATTAAATTAAAATAAGTTTTTATTTTCTTTATTTAGTTAGCACAATTATAAAACATTTGAGATATAAAAAAGTGAGATATAAAAAAGCACAGTTAAAACAAAAACTTTACTTATCTAACGTCAGGAACTTGAGAAACTAACATTAAAAATACCATTAAATTTTTCATTATCATACTGACTTTTTGATAATATCAAGGAGATAAATAATATGCATTTGCAATAATTAAACTAATTAAAGGTTAGAATTTTATAGCAAAATAAAGTTATTATTAATTTTTCTGAATCTGTTCATTGCGTTCCATGCTGATAATCAAACATTCATTATTGTTATTATATTTAACTTTACTCTTTGGACGTTTCCAGTTTTAGATTTTTTTTGTTCACTCAAAGTTTCATGTGGGGCATGGATCGTGTTCTCCCCTCCCTCCCTCTTGGTAGTTAATTTTCCATCTCTTCTCTATAAGAGTCGCGGAGATGGAGTAATTTAGAAGGTGTCCTCATGTTGACGTCTTGCACCAGTACCTACGTTCTTTCTCCGGTCTAACTCTAAAGTTGGTGGGGAACACTTGTACGAAAAAAAATTGTAGGGGACTAGTTAATTTTGTCTCTGGTAATAATACGTTGAAATGAAACTGATAATGAAATACTGTCTGTTATTAAAAATAACAAAAAAGATACTTAACTTCAAAATGTTTTTATCTTCTCTCTTTGAAGAAATTTTGTTGCAGATTAAATTTTTGGCTTCTAAAGCAGTATTAAATTATGTAGGGTGTCAAATAGCCAAACTTGTAATAATAAATCTTAAAAATATAAAAGCAATATCATAACCACCGTGAGTGCGCTGTGTATTAATATAGTAGTAGTAAAGTAGTATTTAATTGAATTAGTTTAATATCATATTGTTAATGTGCAGATGCACGGTAGAACCCACGTTAACGTCTTATCATGGACACTAATTTTGTAAAATTGATTACTTCATAGAAACTAGAATTGCACACATGTTATAAATAATTGAATGTGATGGAAGATGATCATTGACGGAAGGGACAAATTCTTATATTAACAGTTTTATTTCAGGTTAATAATGGACTCTTTTAGTACAACCGTTCATTCTGACTATACTTGGCCATTTCCAAAACCCATTGTGGGAAAGTAAGTTTTAATCTAATAATAATAAACAAGTACATATTTTCTTTGTTTCCTTTATATTGTATATTAAACATCAATCATAAGTTGAAACTCAACACCTCTTGATTTCAGTCCCAACTGATTCTGAAAAGCTTATTTTTACAAGTTTACATATCGAGAGGTGTTTAGACCTATGAGTTGATTTGAAATTGGGTTAAAAAGGGATAGGTTTGAATTTCTTACGTTAAAATAACTGTCTGCCGTTAACCGTCAGTGCTTCAACTAACATTTTAACATGGATACATCTTCCTTGGAGTTTGTGGTCCCTTTTGTGAACACTTAGCTGATTAATCAAAATTTTCACAGTTCTGTCCTCTTTCTGTTCTATAAATTTGACATTCAAATTAAAAAGATGATTTCAGGTGATGTATCTTAAATCTTGTAGATCAAAATTAGCTCAGTTGGTTCTTTCTCGTCGCCTGTTTTGATCATCTTTTGATTCAGTATAACCTACAAAATGTTCGTACCTCCGTTGTACTTAATTGGATCTAACATATTTGGAGATTTGGATGTTACTCATCTCCTAAAGATTTTGATAAAGCTAGGATGTAGGGAGTTGTGACTTGTGCATTCAGAAAAATTCAGTTGGATTGTACACATTTAATATATTTATTACCATTACACATTGTGGCCATTTAATTCTTCATCGATAGAACTAACAAGTGTAGTACCATTTCGGGAACGCACTTTACGATTAGACATAATATTTTGAAATTATCTCTTAAATACTTATTTTTTAATATACCTAAATATGCATACATTCACCCCTGTTGCCGATGAGGTGCTACGAGCCTAGCTCAATGTTATAATTTATTATTTCAAAATTTTGTCCGTGTAATTATTTATAGTAAAAAAGTGAATTTTTAGATTATAACATGAATGTATCGCGTTACAATTGTCTTTTTTAAGGAGTAGGTCACACATGACTAAGCGTCTCACTTGATAGTAAGTGATTACCACAGCCAATAAAAATTTGTAAGAAGAAGAATCATTGTAGATTTCATCTAAAGCTGATCGGCCGTAGTGACACAAAGGAAAGATAAGAAACGATTGTGCAAATAAGTTTCAAATAAAATTGTAGAAGAAGTTGAATTGTATAAATAAGTTTTGGAAGAAGTTGACAAAAGATCAGAGGTTCCATTTCCCGCAGATATCTACAATGCTGAAATAAATTTAAATATAATGATATTTAAATATAGAGCGGTACCCGTCCGAAAAATCTGGCTGGGTGGAATGCGACCGGACGAAATGCAAATGTACAAATACTTCGAGGCTTGCTAGGTCGATCGAAAGTGAAAAAACTGTCCTCCCGAATTCTCTGGCCATCTTGGTTAGTCTAAATGTGTCATCCGTTTAGACCATGCGAACCACCATCTCCGAACGCTGCGCCCGTAGCGAGGCCTGCCCCGGTGGCTCCGTATTGCCACTGCGACGCCCACTCTTACTCACCGAGGGTGGAACAGTACAAGCAGCTGCTGGAGAAGGAACAGAAGCTGTGCCACGATTACGAACTGCTGAGGAAGCAGGTACCCATTATCAAAATCAAAAAAATCAAGATCATTTATTCAGCCACATAAGAAACATTGATAGTCATTATCTATAGTCAATTTTCCATCTATAGTCATTTTTTGTGTCCCTGGATCGTTTGCGATTTATGTCCTATTCCTAGTAGATCGAGTATGTGTATTTTATGGTAGGTGACACTCCGGCTCAGCTTTGTAGTCTTTGGCATACAGAATAGCTCTGGGGCTTTCTATGCCTGTCGCACAAGGGGAGTATAAGGTGACTTCTCTGGCGATCGGAGTGAGGAGCCTTGATTAATCATCGAAATAAACACGGGGTGAACGGAAAAACGGTTTGGTCTCACATTGACGGAGGCGAAGCGAGTGCTGACCCGGTGTTCTCTCAAAGTCTCTTTGGATTGCTCGACCGGGTACAGTGTAGGATGTAATCGGTGTGTAATGGGTGGGTTCCGATGGCGTTTTGGAAAGTACAAGGGCGTAAACCCAAACGTATGAAATAGGCCGATCTCGTAAAAAGTATAAATTGCGGACTGTGACTCATCAGCTAAACCTGCTGTTTGACATAGGTACAATAGCGTATTAAAAGTGCAAATAACGGTTTCTGCACTTTTAATACTCTACGCATACAGATGCTTAATATGGTCATGTTAGAGACTAAAGAACCCTGGACAACTTCTCTATCTCTGACTAAGTGAAACTGATAAGATGTTACAGCTATGCCGGGTTATGTTCGGCCTACATATTTAAGAGTTACATGTGTTGATTACATTTGGTTTCCAGTTTGATATCGGTGTGTTAGTGATTACAGTTTCTATTTTTCTTTTTCCCTAAATCTTTCGCTCGGTATTATTTCCCTATTACCATTGTTTTTCTGCAAGTATTTTATCGATGATATCAAAACATTTAACCTTGTAAATAATGTTAAATAATTACTCTATCAAGCAAGATTTAAAACGCACTGTTCTGTGAGTATTAAAGAATTGGCGATTCATCAAAATTGCGTTAAAGCAGGCCGTTTGTTTAGGTCGTTAGATGTTTACAAACATCTTGCCAATATTTGAGATTAAAATTGCGAACATTTGCGCAGTTGTTTTAAATTTACACATTTAAATTCATCACTTCTCATCGCTTGTTTATACGTAAAAATCTCTCCTAAATGATAGAACGAAAATGTACGCCGACCTATTCACATACATACGCTGCAGTTGATGCACATGTAATTAGTTTTTTCAATAACTTATCATACTGAGCCCTGTAATATATTAAGGCAGTGATAATAAATTATATATAATTAAAACAGGAGTTAGAATGGAAGACTTTACGCCGAATACTTAAGAGTCACTAATACATTTAAGGACCTGTGTCGTCATTCATAATTATATTACAAATATCTCTCAAGTTACACACAGTCTATGTAAAATTGTCTGAGACATCATCAGTGAAACTGCATGATCTGTAAGTATGCTTACTGTGCAACAATGCTGCATTTTCGCTTTAGGGAGGCTTTTAATGATACACATAATTGATATTGCCTAACTGAAACCTCTTTTTGAGGGTAGATATTGTTATTGAGACAATGTCATTATTACCTGTAGATGGTGAGCGTAACTAATGATATTTTGGATCACCCATGCGATGACCTCGACAGCAAGATGCAGACGATGTACCAGGCAACTTATAAAAAGAGATGTGAGTTCACTTCAATCATTTTCACATTGCTGATATTTTAAATTATTTAGATGCACGATGACCGAAAAGATGCTATTCTTTCCGAATCATGATTTATTATGTAGCCCTTTACAGCCTTTTGTAAAGGGCAACTTTTTACCCGACTGCGAAATGCAGAAGAGGGTAATGTGTTTATCAGCCCATGTACGGTTGTTCTTTGTGGCGCTCTCAGACCAAATGCGTGGGCTGATTTTGATGATTTTTATGACACTCTAATCTAGTAATAAAAATTCAGTATTGCAAGCAGACGCCAGTGTGGACAGAAAAATATTCATGTACATTCAAGCAACATAATTATCATTAGCCATTTTAAAGACGTTAGCTATTACGCAGTCGAGTTTTTGATTGAATTCGAGGTACTTGTCATATTATTTTTTACAAGTAGCATTTGAATCAAGTTCTGTTATTGTAATAATTACACAGAGAAGTCTAAAACGCTCGTGTAACGTGTAAGACATACCCGAAAAGGAAACGTCAAGTAATTCTGCGGTCATAATTTTCTTTCTCCTGCCCTTACCCGAACTCTCTGCTGACTGAACCTTAGTGGGACAAGGTGGGGTAAGAACAATATGTGAATCATGTTGTTGATGGATAATCAGATCTTTTCAATCACCCAGATCAAATACCCAGATGCGGACTAATTATCTGAGGATCACACAAATACTTTTCCTACATAGGAATGCCAAAGCTAAACAGCTTTGCAACTGCGTCACTGATTCATACTGCTTTTTTCCCGAACAAATTTTAATGCATAGTAATATAATGAGTAAACTGGTAGTAATTCTAGTATCAAATCGCAATTTTTCGATGACCCTGTCTCTTACCTACCTAAAGGCCCATTTACATGATGCCAGTTTCTTGCCTGTTGTATACAATTAAATTGAAGCAATAAATGAGTTGCACGGTCTAAACAACAAATGGTCTAAACAATTATTGCGCGCAATTTATTGCATTCAATTATTGCTCTTGTATGTTCAAGAAAATGGCATCGTGTAAATGGGCCTTAATACCTACTAACCAACGAAACTCTTTCGCTGAAGGCGGGCCTTATGGCGTGAGATTTGATAGTCTCCTTCACATAGAGATTAATGAAAATACTTATAGAAATAAACTGCACTATAGGCTCGAGTTATTTTTATAAGAGAAGATGATAAATAAGCGGGTGGCTTAATGCTGGCTTAATGGTGGGATGATAAATAAGCGGGTGATTACCGCCGAGACCAACCGCATGGTTAAAGCCGCGTTGTGCAGTCTACCCCCAGTTGCCAGGCACAATGCAAAAGTAAAAGTAAATACTTCCACACTACGACAGCCTTCCTGTTTTAGTCAGTGGGTTTACTATGGTAAGGCCACGCAGCAGTTTTCGCTGATGTGCGAATTGGCAGGTTCGCCCGGGGATGTACCACGGCCTCACAGAAGACCGGCGTGAAATGGAAGTGTTATATTTCTGCGTTTCCCCAACCAATTGAAAGGTGGCAACGTATTTGTAAACCTACGGGTGTCGTTCACGTCCACGCGCGGCGGTGCTCACTCAACAGCAGGCGAGCCGCCAGCTCGCTCGCCATTTTCCTGCATAGAAAAAATGCCCCTTTCATCGGCAGCACACCCCGTGACGGAGTACAGGAAAGTGGTGGCGGACACGCAGTCGAACGCGCCCATACCGATGGAGGGCCACCGGCTGGGCGCGCTGCGGTGCTACAAGGACCCGACACATTTCGGGGACGCCCCGCCGACCGTTCGGCCGACGATCAACCCACCAGGTCCCGTCCACACTGGCGTGACGCCGAAGACGATGCGCGTCTGGTTCGGGGAGTTCCCCGGGCGCACCGAGTACATGGACGCGTTCAGCTCGACCGCGAAGGCCTCCTGGCGGTCGATGCAGCGCTACAAGGAGCCCCTGCGGTCGACGAGGCGCAGGGCCGACGATCCCTGCGTTTAGTTCTAGCACCGCTGTTTTCCATCAATTACTGTCTTTCATCTGTTACCGACTGTTCCGTAGACTTGTCTTGCATCGTATTACAGACTGTTTCGTAGACTTGTCGCTGAAAGCTGTCTGTCGTCGGCTGTCTAATTGTCGATTAACGGTTTCAGAATGTCCCCGGATTGTGAAACTGGCGTGCAACGATTCAGACTCGTTTTTTAATAATTCATTCGTAACTAATAAAATTGTACAATTTCTTTGAATGGGGAAGATAACCGGTTGTTTTATTGAAACGTGTAGTATAGTTTTGTGTCCCATCCTTTTGCGTTAGTAATTTTTACACAACTGTTTTCTCTATTATAAAATTGGGTATAATAAGTATTGAGCTGATGAATTGGATTCGTTTGTTGTCCAAAAATCATCCACGGTAAAACGTAGGCACCGCGCTACTATTAGCTGTGTGTTTTATTTTTATTATTTTCACCACATTTACGTAACTCCTTTCTCCTGCTCTTATCCCACCTTGGCGCCGTCGGCACAGTATGTAAATCATGTTATTAATGGTATTATTTTTCCTGTTTTTTTTTACGGACGGCCACCACTTGTAAACCCTCCTTCAGAATAAACACCCAGATCCGGAAAATTGATCCGTGGATCTCACGTATATTTTATCTGTGCGGGAATCCAACCCACGACCTCTAGCGCCCGAAGCCAATATCTTAAAAACTGCGCCAGTTTACAAGCACAAGTAGTTACAAGCATGCAGACCCTACACCTAAAGCCACGAGTTAATCACATAATGAAGATTATCATTTACCGATGTTAATTGTCAACAATGATTTTACCTTAACTAAAAAGTAAAGACTCCGTGTTTAGAGTTCCAAGTGTAATCATTTGTAACTTTTTTTGTTAATGCATACCCAGCCTGAAATTTCTTTGCACGCCCCTGTACCTAATCGTTTTACAAAAGGTATGCAAGTAAAATTTTATATTTAGAATAAATAATTAATCTATTAATTGCACATTTGTTTCAAAATGTATTTTTCTTAAAAACAATTATATTTTAAGATGGTTTTAGGAATCATGTCCACAGCAAGAAGGCGTAGTTGTGTCCGCTTAACGAATACTTTGCGACGATTTTAAAATTTATACGCTGATAAAAATAAACGCCCTCGAAACATTTAATAAAGTTATAAGAGATCAATTAACTCTATTTTCGTTAGTAAATATTTAATCGCCTGACCTAAATTTGCAAAGCCTATTAGAATCAAAAGCGACCTCTTGACTAAAAGACCCTCATAATATTCTAAGTGCCAGTTTAACTGTTGAAACTAATTACGTAGCAACTCTTCTAATCACAATTTGCACCCGTATTCTAAGATTTGAATTGGTACTAGTATAAAATCTGTCTAATTTGCAAAGTTTTTAAAACTCATTGACAAGAACCCACTGAACAAATGAATGATTGATGAAATTTCCGCGATCAGTCCGTGATCAGTCAGTCGAATGGTTATGTAAATATTAAAGTAAAGTAAAGTAACAGCCTATACATGTCCCACTGCTGGGCAAAGGCCTCCTCTGTATAGAGGGTATCAGGTTATAGTCCACCACGCGGCCCCACTGCGGACTTCACATAACTTCGAAAAATATTTTTTTTTGTTATTCGAAAATATGCAGGTTTTCCTTCCTTAAATGTTTTCCTTCACCGCGGAGTACGTGATAAGTCAGCACTTAAAGTAAAAAACTTCATTGGTGCCGGCACAGGGGATCGAACTCAGGTTGGTCGAGTATATTGAATTAAAGGCACACCGGACACTGAGCTATAACGGCTCATGTATATATTATGTGGGAATAAGTATCTATCGATGAAACGCATCTAATTTTGAAATATCTCGTTCTTCAGTCTACTTGCTTACTACCTTCTATCATTTAAACTGATTGTCAATAGATGTCATTATTCTTTATAAAAATTATACATTTAGTTTTCGTCAATAGCGGCAAACACAAATTTTAGAATGGTGTATTAACGGCCAGTTTCAATATTTTATCTACAGATAGATTTGGTTACTAGCGATAAGTATTTGACATTGGCTCCATAATACTCACGTCAAAATTCTATCTCTAGTAGGTAACCAAATATATCTGTAAGTAGATAGAATATTGAAATCGGCCGTGAATCACTAAATTGTATTATCACTGATGAGGTAGCTAGTGTATAATCAAAGTATATAGCATTCGAAACTTCGGGAGTATAAATTGAAACGGCATTCGTAAACTGGTTTTAATAAAACGTATTATATTCGCGTAAATAACGTAAATTGTTGTACTGTTTTGTAATAACGTAATTTATTCTATAATGTTACCTCGAATTAAGATAAGGGCGTGAAAGGAAATCAGTTCACATTATCGACGTCCTGTCATCTTTGTCCTTCGTCATCTCTCATTGAACAGTAGAGATCTGTAATAAAAATAATTGGATGAGCATGAAACGGAAAATATTTATTAACGGAACAATATATGACGGAAAAAGTAAATCAACTGTTTACCGAATTAAAGTAAATCAAGCATAGAATATTTATTTATGTACTTATTTTGTAGCCGTGAGCAATTTACTCGAGCAACCTGTGTTCGATCCCCGCTGCAGAGAAAAATGAAATTGGTTGTTAATTTGAAGTGCTGAATTATCACGTGCTCAAAGTGAATGAAAACATCGTGAGGAAACCAGCATATTTTCGAAATAATAACAAAAACATTTCGAAGATACGCGAAGTCCGCCAATCCGCAGTGCGGTCGCAAGGTGGACCTATTCCTCTGTACAGAGAATGCTTTTGCCCAGTGGTGGGACATATACAGCGTGTCGTTACCATCGCGACAATAAATGAACACACGTCTAAGGCTACTTGCCAATAATCATAAAAAAATATTAACGTTAAACAAAATCCATAATTAAAAAAAAAAAAAAATATTTTTCAAACAAACTAATTAAGTAAAAAAGAAACAAAATTTGTAACACAAAATTTGTAATACAACTCGCGTCACAGCGTCGCATTACAAGCCTCTCCTTCTAACAGTATGTTTTGTCTCTTTTAAATTCATTCAACCCATTCATATGCTTTGTGACCTTTACAAATGAACTTTACGTTACGCTTTTATAGGTAAGGCTGTTCTAAAACTCTTTGCTTTGGAAAATTTAATATCTCTGTAAATATTGATGTTTAAAGAATTTAAATGTTTAATACAACTTTAAAAAGTTATCCCCTATATGTGTGTTCATTTATTGTCGCGATGGTAACGACACGCTGTATAGGCTGTTACTTTACTTTTACAGTAACAGCCTATGTATATATGTCCCACTACTGAGCCTGTTCAGGGTTTTGCCGCTTTTGCCTCTGCTGTACAGTGGGTATAAAGGCATAGTCTACCACGCAACCTCCCCATTCACTCACCACGGATTGGGAGACTACAAATCTTTGGAATATTTTCTTTATTATTGCAAATTGGTTTCTTCACGATCTTTTTCCTCACCGTTGAACACTCATGTTGTCGCAATTAACAATTTCATCGGTGATGCAACCGGGATTCGAAGTCGGCTCACTCGATTAATAGAAAATATTAAAAGTCGGTCCCTAAGCTATTACATTTAAATTAATCCTTTATTAATTTATATTACAGGCAATTGAGCAATTGATTGACTTAACAAACTGACGAAACGCCAGAGGTTAAATACCAACATTTTTATTCAGTTTTATTCAGCTCTGTAGGCACACAACAACAGTTTTAAATTATTAGGAGTAAATTTCAATTTATTACTTACCTTATTATTCCATTTGTTATATTCCATAGGGCTGGTATCAGGTAAGCAGTATAATTATCAAGTACAAACGTCAACAAGCCAATAACCAATTGCATTAAATTTATTATTGCGGCCATAGATAAATTATACGGCAATGGTATTATTTGTGATATTTTTTTAACTATCTGCCCGAATTTCATTGCTAAAGGATTTTTGATGAAATTCTCAGATGATATAGTTTGCATTGTGTAATCTCCCAACGGTAGTCTATCGTCGATTTCTTTCGATCTGTAAGGATCATGTACGCTCCTTGTCGTCCTTTTTACACACGCATCGATTGCACCCATTTTGGAAAACCCAACGAAGCAAAAAAATAGAACGAATTTCTGAAAAAAAAAAAACAATAAACATTTTCACAGTTGCTTCAACAAAAGACGCCTAAATTATATGACCCGATGGAATAAAGAATAAATAATATTAGATTGTGTTTGTACATCATTTATTTAATATAGAAAACATATTTTTGTTTACGCTTAATATTTTCTGACGCTATAAATAGATGCTAAATATATTCAATTTCAGAGTAACTTACCGTAAAACTAGGCATTTTATGGAAATCAAAAACAACTTTAGCGACTGGCGTGTTTCTTTCAACGGACAACGTTTATTTGGTATTAAGCAATTGACTGTTAAAACAAAATGCACTAAAAAGTTGCTGCACAGTATACTTTGACAATTATTTAATTACCCAATTTATTCCCTCATTAATTAAAGACTCATTATTGTTCATTATCAATTACATGCAATGATTCGTTATCATCAAGGTATTTTAATACATAATAGATACTATGGAATTGCTATTTAATTAATTAAAAACCTTTTAAATGGAGGTGGCAAGCAATCAAGTGCTGGTTCACCAGATTATTTTGGAGTTGATCGGTAAACCAATTTCGGAATGAGAACCAGTCTTTGTTAAACTTGCAGGATATCGTGGCACTGTTTTGTCGCAGTCAATACATATCTAATGCTTACTGGCCACTTCAAAAATTCGGGAAAGCACTGCTTTGGAGAAATAAGAAACCATTACATTATAATCGCTATCTTGTAATCTTTTTGATGTTGTGATCTTAGAATTGTATGCTTTTTCATCCCACTGAGATCGCAAGTATGACGTCTCAGGCACTAACGCCCGGTTTTTGAAACACTGATCATCGTGGAAGTTAACTAATCACCTGTCTTCTTAATGATCAGAATGATCAATTCAAAGAGTTTAACAATCCTTTTGGTAACTCAAATAACATTTGAAAACCCATTTGACAGCTGATTAGTTAATTTCTACGATGATCAGTGTTTCAGAAACCGGACGTAAGTCAATACTAGCTTACATTAAGAACATCAAACAACAAACAAATGTCTAAGGACACTTAGTATTGATGTATACACTGTAATTCTTCAAGTGAGTTAGCTTTAATGTGACATGTGACGTCTTAGCGCTTAACAAGTGTCGTCGTGAACCTTTATAAATGACATTTTGACGCGTTCTTAGGTGACGTTCGATGCCCCTAATCAGGGCCCACAGGGCACTTAGTTATTGCGTTCAGCCGCCAAAGGTAATTTCTACGGGTCCAGCAAAATCTGTGGGTGCAAACTCCTGAGACGGGACGCTATGTCCTATGTGAAAGGGATTTGAGGATCGAACCATTGAAGCCTTCGTGGTCGGATTAGCGTGTCGCATGTTGGAAACCGACACGTAAAAGGTTTCGCCCCTCTGCTTGCGTACGAGACATACTACCACGAGACGTATCTTACGTATATAGATACATATTAGGTCGATATATTAGATATATATGTTATACAGCGTGTCGTTACAATGGCGACAATAAATGAACACACGTCTAACGCTACTTGCCAATAATCATAAAAAAACTATTAACGTTAAAAAATACATAATTAAAAAAAATATTTTTCAAAGTAATTAAGTAAAAAAGAAACAAAATTTGTAACATCCTATACAACTCGCGCCACAGCGTCGCATTACAAACCTCTCCCTCTAACAGTATGTTTTGTCTCTTTTAAATTCATTCAACCCATTCATATGCTTTGTGACCTTTACAAATGAACTTTACGTTACAGTTTATACAGTTTATACTTAAGGATGTTCTAAAATTGCTTTTTTTACCTTAAAAATGATTAATTGAATAGCCAAATATAAGATAACTAGATTAGTTAGTACTTTTTCTTTGTCAGATGCCAAAGAAAAGTATTTGCTGTTATAATTTCGAAAGGCGCGAGGCATTAATAAAAGTTCCTTGGAAAATATTTGAAACAGTAAAAAATCACGGTCTTCTGTTTTAAAAATCCTTCCTACATGCCCAATTACCCAACTATGTCAAATTTCAACTTTTTGGAAGGTGATCTGGAAGTCGCTAAAGTTTTTTATATACAGCGTGTCTTTACAATCGCGACAATAAATGAACACACATATAGGGGATAACTTTTTAAAATTGTATTAAACATTTACATTCTTTAAACATCAATATTTACAGAGGTATTCAATTTTCCAAAACAAAGAATTTTAGAACACCCTTACTTATAAAACTCATTAGTAAAGGAAAGTTCATTAGTAAAGGTCACGAAGCATATGAATGGGTTGAATGAATTTAAAGGGGAAAACATACTGTTAGAAGGAGAGGCTTGTAATGCGACGCTGTGACGCGAGTTGTATTACAAATTTTGTGTTACAAATTTTGTTTCTTTTTTACTTAATTAGTTTGTTTGAAAAATATATTTTTTTAAATTATTGATTTTGTTTAACGTTAATATTTTTTTATGATTGTTGGCAAGTAGCGTTAGACGTGTGTTCATTTATTGTCGCGATGGTAACGACACGCTGTATATAGGTCAGTCAGCCAGTGATAAAAATGCACAAACCAAATTTCGTGTATTTATGTTAGAGATTTTAAGTTATTAAGGGGTCAAAAGTGGCTCCAAATGTTTAATTTGCTACCGAGTCAAAACGATAACTAAAATGTTTCTATGATATTTCTTACTTCATATTGATAGACTAGACTAAGTATTAGTTTTATCTACATTTTCTATTAAATTTTTTATGTCATCAATATCCTAAAACTTAATTTATAATATTCTTAATTTAAAAGAAAAATTATAATAATAATATAATATCTGAGAAAATACCGCAACTATGAGCTTATTTTGTTTTAAATTTTCTTTAATTTAAAAATCTTAGTCTCAAAATGGCATTTCCAATTGCTATGATTTGGATCTTATGAAGGAGAATCCCGATAGCGTTCATATCAGAACAGTAATAATGTAAAACAAATTCATAAATAAACTGAAAATTTGAGCAGCAAACAGTAAGAATACAATGATTTTAGAACCATGCACTGAATATCTTACAATCGTGGACTGAATTAATTCACCACACGAGTTTCTCGCTATAGGGAAACGACAGGTTATCTCAAATCAGTATATTTTTATCAACAAGAAACAAAACCCACTTCAATTATCTCGCTCACAATACATTTTCTATTTCTTTATAAGGCGTTCCTCAAGTGTGGGTCCTTGTCCAATATTAATGAAATTAATATGGTACCTAAACCGAATTCGATGCAGAAATAATTTTTAAACATAAAAAGATACAACCGAATTGTGCACATCCTCCATTATATAAGTCGGTTGAAAATAAGATGGATAATAAAATAACAACTGTTAAAAATAAAGTACAAGCATTTAAGCTTATTAAGATTCCAAGAAAGACATTAATTGATTGGCAATTTGTTCATTGCTTGGATTTACGTCATACGTTCATGACCGACGATTAACTTATTAACAGTAATCAAGAAATGCGTAAGCCTTGAGTGTTTACAAACATATAAAGTAGCAGTATTATCATAGAAAATACGTAATTTGTGATATGTCTGACCATCCGGTACTTTGGACTGAACCAACATTGAATAATACATCTTTTGTTATCACTTGAATACATATTGGAACGATTTCAATCATTGGCCTTTTTACCCGACTGCGCCAGAAGGAGGGTTATGTTTTTCGAGAGTATATATGTATTTATGTAAGTATGCAGCCTGAACAGCTTGATGGATTTTAGCTTGAAAGGTGTCGTTAGATTTGTATTTACTGTGAGAGTGACACTGGGTATATCAACATAAAAAATTACACAGAAACGCAGGCGGGTTTTTTTAGTTTTTTAAATTATATTCTAATTGTTTCCCTTTGGTATTTAAAACTTGTATAGATATGTAAAATGATTTCTGCAGCGACCTGGGTTCGATACACGTTCATTACATGTTGAAATAGTTCTGATGGCAAGGAATCTAAGCGAGATACATATACTTTGACCCTTTTATACACTTTAGTTTATATAATAGATACTTTAATGAGCTTCTAACACTGATTGGCGTTAGCTATAGTAAATTATATAGGTATGAAATTTAATAAAAGTAGGCCATTATGTACAAATTATTTATTCTTATATAGTGACCTACTATTGTAGACCATAATATAAAAATAAAATTGATATACAATACACAGTTTAACTTATTGGTAAAGGTAAGCGTACATTAGTTTATTAATGCTCATAGAAATTTCATTTTTCATGTTAACGACGAGACATTGACCGAAGTGATTATACATTTAGAAAAATTGTGTATATAAATTAAAAAAAACACATTTGCATCGTTATAATACATCATAATTACGACCAGCGCTATAAGTACGTGGTAATGAGGTAGCTGTACTTTCTGTAGTCATCAGACAACTTCTGCGTTAGATTCGAAATCTTTCGCTCGTTGGCGACAATCTCGTCGTTTATGTCGCTCCTCCCCTTAGCGGCCGTGGTTCTTTGAGTAGGGATCAGGAATCCGCGGGCCTCTTGGCAAATGACTAGGAAGCAGCAGGCCACGATGAGCTGGAAATGTAATGAAGACTTATAAATCATCATTCCGATGGTGAAATGGAAACCCTTTGGAAGGTCCCGTGCTCAAACCACTACAGCTTCTAACAGGGACTTTTACGTTTTAAATCTTTAGGTACACAAACCCTTTCTTGTCATGTTTTTATTTATCTATATTTGTTTAAAAGTTATTAATATGAATTCTTTCAGTGGTCTTACATTTCTTATATGTTCTTATGAAATTGAGGTAACTATGTCCACATTTTTAGTAAATAAATATAGGAGTCATCGGTTAAAGGGTTTTCATTGTTTAGTTTAAAATGGTTAGTCGATGCTACATTTTCTTTATAGTTCTATGGATCTAGTCGAAGATGCCATGCTGTTAGTGCAAAACTTACACAAGGAAAAAACTGTCAATTCGTTTGCGAAAAGAATTACTCTTTTATAAAAATGGGCTCGTCCGAGGATCAGCAGAGTTTAGTTTTTAATTTTTTTAAACAATACCCCTACTATAAGTTTTCATAATCCTGTATTGTTTTGAAACACACATTCAATTAGGATAAACACCCGGATTCGAAATAATTATCTGCATTCATCAAGAAACGAACAATCACGGTGTTATCGTTTAGCAACTCCGCAAACCCAGTCATCAAAGTTTTAACCCAGTCATCACTGGGTAATAGAATCTGGTAATAGAATCTTGACGTAAGTATTATGCAGCTAATGTCAAACACCTATCGGTAGTAACAAAATCTATGTATAGATTGAATATTGAAACCGGCCATAATTAAAGGAAACGTGAGTTTTATTTTACATGCTTTTGTTTCAGGTTAGTAACCACTGGTCTCTGAAAGGTTGGAAACGCAAAAAAGCAATAAAAGTAAACGTTATGTATGTCAATGGTAGGTAATCATTTAACGTTGACGACTTGGTGGCGCAGTTGCTAAGGTGATGGCTTCGGCACCGGGGGTCGTGGGTTCGATTCCCACACGAGACATGCATTTGTGTGACCCATTTTCGCGAAGGGAAGTCTACAATAGATACTTGACGACCCGATTGGCGTGGGGAGTAGTGACCCTGCCTCTTGCGCCAGAGGGTGTGGGTTCGATCCCCACTACTGGAAAAATATTGTGTGATGAACATCGTGTTTTGCCAGTGTCTGGGTGTTTATATATGTATAATATGTATTTATTTACAAAAGAAAAGTATGTTTAAGTATGTTTATCAGTTTATCTAGTACCCATAGTACAAGCTTTGCTTAGTTTGGGACTAGAGAACGTTGTGTAAAAGATGTGTCCGATATTATTATTTATGTATTTATTTATTTAGATATTTCTAGGGCGCAGTAATCATTAGAACTTACAATTCTGCCTCTTTCTATTTCCCGTTGGTCGAGTCTTATTTTTGATAGGATGCTTCGTCACTACAAACATGCACACACGGACACATCAGTTTATCACGTTACTTCGACCGACGCCGGATTATTTTTGGTCATTTTTTAAATAGAAATCACAATGCGGACCGTCGAAGAGTCCAAAAATAATTTAATCACGTCGACGAAATGGTATTTAAAGCTAATCAAGCACTAACAAAATTTTTATCTTTTTACATTTGGTTTGTTTATAAATAAAGCATATTGTGTAATATGTTACTTTTAATCGTAAGCAATGACGATGTTTTTTGCATTTAGTTGTTTACCATATGCAGTAGGTTATAAATTACATTGTGTAAAATTAATATTAATAAGATTGCATAAGTCGACACTTTTAGTACTAACTCTTACTTTGAAGTTTTTAAGATTGATTTATATGAATTAATATCTGTTTTAAAGTTAAAGTGAGCATCTAAAAAATATGTTTTTCTTTGGTAAAATTAGGTTCTGAATCCAAGCAATGTAGCTTAATTTAAATTCCTACTCTGAAACATTAATGTAAGACTTATTTTATTGACATCGAAACAAAATTGGAAAACTTTTAAAAGAGAAATTCAGAACACATTTACTATTATTTATTATCCATGTTAGTTATAAATCTGAACTAAATAATTACAATGATAACATTTTTTTCTCGAGAGAAAATAGAGCGCTTTGAAGAGCTCTTTTTCTTCTGTATTTTAATTAAAAATTAAAGTGTGCAACATCCAGGTAGGAAAAAAAAACTGTGCGATGGTACCTCTTGTCAAAACCACGGCCTTTGTAATAAACGTCCCGGAGTGTTTAAAAGTATTTCGATGGTTTATGTTCAGAGATCTTGAAGTCGCTTTAAAATGCGCATGAGTGTCACAAAAGTTAAATTAAGGCTAAAACTGTCACACGAGTTACCACTGGTGAAATTAAATCAAATTAGAGAACGTGACTAATATAGGAATGTGGATATGCGATGTCTTCAATTACTTTTGCATCAAGTGTAACAAACATACAAACGAGATCAAACTATATAGCAATAATATTTTAATATTTTGTAATGTATAAATCACTAACTTCCACCGCGTGTGGTATATTAGTGTATCTCTACGAGAATAGTGTACACAAGGTTAATTATTATTTCTGAAGTTTGCTCGAGGATAAGTTAAAAAGCAAAATTATGTTTGATTGTAATAAAATGAAACAACACGTAACTCACCAACTTCCGTGCCATGCTGTCGATGTCGCAAACACCAACTGATTTCTTCTATTACAATAACTAGTTATTAACATATGATTGTTGACTATTTACATATAAACAGATGACAATGGATGTTTTGCCGCCATTTCCGAGTCAGCGTCTAACGCGTGCGTCACTTCGGAGAGCGGGTTCTGGAATGAATGATTTCGTAATGTTGCTCCATATCTAATTCGGTAATTAACATCTCAACGGAAATATTAAGAATACGGGAACTATCTGGTATGGTATATTATTTTTATATTGACAATCTAATGCAGTAAAAACAAAACATTTATATAACGAGCAAATTATATGTTATATTGACATTGTGACGTAGCCGACTTAGGAAGCGCATAAATTATTTATAAATTAGAAATAAATATGAATAATAATTTTTCAAAACGTTTTATTTAATCATACAACACGTGATTGCTTTGTTATACGATACGTCTTAATAATTCTAATTCAGTACTTACATTGTGGAAATATACTGACCATTGACAAGCCTATCAAGTTATTGTAAATACCATTCGTAATGTCCTGTTTATTAGATAATGTTAGCTTTATCAGGGATGGTTATAGGGATGGTATATACGCGAGTGTAGTCCTACAGCAACAGTTAGTAGGCGTTGTATTCATATGGATGTTTACATTTTAGGAGGCAACAAATGCGAGAGAATGCAAGTTGATGCCAAGGGCTCATGATTCTCCGTAACATATTACAGGTGTCCCAAGTTATAATAGTGATCTGGACGGAGCGTAAACATATAAATTCTTCCAATTCACGCTCGTCTTCATTCAACTCCAGCATGCAGATTGCATGATCTGCTGTTGAATGATCTTCATGCAACAGCAGAAGTTTGATTATTAAATAGCATTTACGCGATTACTAGACATTGTTCAATGCAAATATTTTGGGGTTTTATCGTTTATTTCCTGTTGTTTCAATTCAAACGTTTTGAAAACAAAAAAAAAACTATGTCTACGGTCACTTAATTGCGGAAAAGCTTGTGCCGTAACTCACGACATGTATATTTCATCATGATGATGATAATCATTTCCGTCTGTTCAGTCCACTGCCGAACATATGCCACAGATATTGTGTTAGATGAATCAAAGGTATAAAAGTTTGCAATGATATCATTTCCATATTACACATACATATAAGTATGTAAGTTATATTGTGTTGTCACTAAGTTGAATCTAATTCGACTAAGAAGTCCCGGTCGGGAATACCTATGGGGAACATTCATTCAACACAAGTTTTTCATTAATAGATTTCAGGGATAAAATCGATTTTTTCGGTTATTCATTTGTTCCGGTCGTAAGACAATGTGAAAAGTGCTCGCACTTTGTCGGCTTAATAAAGATGCATAAAGATTTTTTTACGGACAGCCATTTTCAATTCAAAGTAATACATATTACCTATTTTAATTACATTTCTATTAAATCGTGTAGTTAAGATTTTTTCCTTAACTAAACAACCTAACAAAGAAAAAAAAGCCGTAGGGCTTCATTTTTGATTCTCAAAACTGACTGAATAGTATGCTCCAATTATAAATACTTAACTTGATAAGAGTTTACCAAGACGCTGGTACCAAGAATTTTTATTTATTTGTGCTTTGATATTTAGCTTCTCTAACAAAGACTCTGTTTATTTTGCTCCGTTCCGATGACAATGAGAATATTTACGTGAGGTTCGGAGTTTCTGTAAAAAAAATCGAACGAACATTTGTTATTACAAAAATCTCACACTAAGTTACAACACGTTTTCTAAATAGATAAATATTGTTTATTTGAATATTTTGTTGTTTGAAAGCATAATTTACAGTCGTGCGTATGCCGTGCAAGGTAGCCGCAACATTATGCGTCTTAAGCAAAAATAGTAATGGTAAATGACAAACATAACAAAAATAAAAATCAGCAATTTGTTTTTGTCTTGTGCTTTTCCTTGTCATCAACTTTAGCTGTGCGTGCATAATAGGGGAAGAGTATTACATTTTTATCAGATTTGTTTATTAAGTAACATTTCTTTATTAAATGATGTTAGAAGACGCGTTTATTTGAAATCCAACCTTTATTATTATACAAACAGTGACTTTCGCTGAACTAAGACTGTGTGAGGTAACCGGGGTATTTCTTAAAAGGATCGCAATGCATCTGCAAGGTGGTACGCATTTACTGTGGATATATACGGACTATGGTAATCTGTTATAGTATGTTACCTTAATAACATCTATTTATATAAAAATTGTCAAAGAACTAAGGACATTTGGTGATATTAAATGATCGTTATAGGTTATTGGAAACACCAGTAGAGTTGAAAGACCGTTGGTAATTTTTAAGAAAGTTTGTTACCACACGGACTAGGTCCATTATTGTGATTAGGCAATTTCTCCTGCTTAGCTCTACCTCTATCGAACTAGTAAACGTGAACACTGACAAATTTGTAATCAACAATCATATTTCAATTCTTCTTCTTCTTAAGGCACCTGTCCAACTAGTGAAGGTTTGCTATCAGCTTGTTAGTCTTTCTTCCTTACAGCTCCACGCCATTATTTTGTTGTAGCTTAGCACAGTAGTGTTGATGTCAGGTCAGTTAACTCAACGAATAATATAAAGTCGTTTCGCAAATACAGTTATTTTATTCTTAGTCTGATAATACATTCTATTAACTCTTAACGTTCTCTGCTATATCAGGTTATGGGCCCAGCAGGATTCCACTGCGCCACTCTGCTGAATGTATATCTTCATTATCTTCAATTGTACGTTCCACTATGATGTCATCTCTAGAAATATTGCAATTCTGTGATACTTTCTGTTGAAATTCATTTATCGCGTTTTCATTACCTGTCTCAATCTTTGCATCTTCTGATGATAGAGGTGATTCATCGAAAATGACGTCTCTCGACCAAGACGATTTTTCTTGCCTCAATAAACTTTGTCAAAATCTGTAGCCGTCTTCATCATATCCACTAAGATATCCTTTAATAGCTTTCTTATCGATTTATTTTCGTTTTTTTTTTTTGAATGTGTACACTACATCTGCTTCCTATCATTCTGAAATGTTTTATGTTCGGCTATTTTCAAACCAGATTTAGTATACAGGCCGATGTGTTTATCATTTCAGCCCATAGTTCTTATAATAAATTTGAATGGCTGTAATAGCTGGCTGATGATTTTGTTTACTTGGTGCTTCTCTATCTAACATCAGTGCAAAAATATTTTCTCCAGTTTATGAAAATATACATGTCATATGTATTTAAAACATTTTTGTACCCTTGCGATTGTTTGTGATATTCTTAAAATATGTTTCTATATATTATTTTGCTCAGGTCTAACAGTTTATATTGTTCTAATGACTAATAATCATTTCATTTGACGTGTTTAAGGTCTCTTATTATAAAAATGGTTATACCTATCTGATACTTTTCATAGAGTACTACTAGCACACTAGTAGTACTCTATGAAATAATATCTATTAATCCCAAAATATGAAAGTACATGTAAATACAATTGAGGTGATATATATTGATTGTAAGGTCTAGGGTCTGATTGCGACCGTTCTAAAAAAAAGAAAAAAAAAACAAACGAAATAAAATAGTTCTTGTGGAAGTGGCTCATGCGCGATCATAAGTGATCTTTCAGTCTCGACAAGAGTTTGGTTTTCGCTCTCACTACACTCATTTCGCTGTAGGGTATAAGGAATAACCTACCCGTGCTTGGTATATGTTTATCTAAAATATGTGTGTGTGTTGTCGAACTCTCCTCCGTTGTCGCTCAGAATAGTTTTAATTGTATGTCCTTGAATTTTGATATACTGAATCATAATTTCAAGTTTGTCTTTAACTTCACTCTTATTGCGTATGAAATCGACCATTCGATAGCTAGAGTAGTCGTCTTTAAAAAGTACATAATATTGAAACTTGGTACAACTTGTTTAAATGGTCCACAGACGTCAGTCTGGATTAATTCTCCGGTTTAGTTGCTCTCGTTCTCGTATTGAACTTTAAACTGTGAGCTTTCCCATAAATGCAGCCATCACACGTATCTTTATCCTAAGGTAGATCGATATCTAAATCTCTCTTGGTAACTGACTTGGCATGCGTCTTATTCTGCTTTCCAAGTCTTTCATGGTACAGTTGAAAAGTGGCTGTAGACAGACATACTTCGATTGGTTGAGCTGGTTGTACATTCTGAACATCTTATTTGTACAGAATGTTGACGTTGATGATCATCTCATACATGTCTATTCTTGACGTGAACGAATGTGTGATTGCAAAAGCTTTATGTTCTTTTGGCGTAAGACGTTCAGCAACAATAAATTATAACCGTATTTGGGCCAAACATTTTGCACGTACTGTAATCAATAAGGCTTTATAAAGTTAAACCTTAACATACAAAAAAATTGCTAGTTTTACAAGGCAATTGTTATCTCTTCCATTTCGACTCTTTCATATACACAAATATTATATAATTTTACCTATTCGATGCATTTACAATTTATTAATTTTAGTCGGTGGATAGACAAAAATTCAACAACACTTCTAAGCCGTTGTCATACCTGTCATCAACGTCAGTCATTAATCAGTCAAATCTAAATTATCAAGTGTTACTTTATTGTATTAATGAATTAAATTAAAAAAAAAAACATGTTGCAGCGTCTGTTTATCACAATCCTATGCGCGGTTAACTTTCAGCATCGGCAGCGGTGCACACTTAACACTCGAATCCATTTCGGCGAGCCGTTGCCTGTGATCATTAGGGACGGTAGATTGCTAGAGCCCACCGACAGGGATGGCAACATACGACTAGAGCACGGAGACAGCCTCATTCTAAGCTGTCTGGACAGGGGCAATATCCGCCATTCGAATGCGATCAAAGGATTGGACACGGCGTCCATAAGTTGCGTCGACGGGGATATGTTCGAGAACAGCGAATGGTTGATCGCACCTTCGTATTTCCGCGAGTTTAGTTGCGGCTATCCCCCATCCTACATCAGCGTGCGCACCAACAGGACCTGCTTCTCCCGTAACTGGATTTACGAGGTCGGCTACCGTGTGCAGGACGTTTTCCATCCGGTTTACGAGTCGTGTTTCGACGAGAGCCAATTAAACGCGGTGTACTCGACGTACACGCAGAAACCGTACAACGCGCTTTACCAGACCAGAGTGGATCGGCCCTTCTTCATTGACAACAACGTTTACGGCAACGTCCCTGTAAACTCCCTGTTCTCGCCGCCCGGTCAAAAAGGGGCGGTCGCCCGACTGGTCGGTGCCCGGGTAGATGTATATGTAAACAACACGGAGTTCCTTTCGAGGGGGCATTTGGCTGCGAAGACCGACTTTCCCCTTGCGTTCGGCGAACGGGCGACGTTCCACTACGTAAATTGCGCCCCCCAATGGGTGGGCTTCAACGGCGGCAACTGGAACACCCTGGAGGTGGACTTGAGGAACCACATACACGCCATCGGCTGGGACACAGTCGTGTACACGGGCACGTACGGCGTGTCCGAATTGGCGGATCAGCATGGGAGGAGCGTCGGAATATATCTCCATTCGGACGTCAACAATAATCCGGTGATACCGGTGCCGAAGTACTTCTACAAGGTCGTGTACGAGCCGAGCACGAAGCGCGGGATAGCGTTTGTCGGCATAAACAACCCACATTGTACGGCGAAGGAGGCGCGGTCACTGTTCTTCTGCCGGGATCTGTGCCGGGATAATCGGAACTTCAACTGGCTCTCGTGGCACCCGGATAAGTCGTCAGAGGGCTATGCGTTTTGCTGCACGGTGGAACAGTTTCGAGAGACTGTCCGCCATTTACCCAATTTTGAAGTGAACGATCTCTTGATGTGAACATCCGAGAAATATGCGTGAAAAATGTCTGATAAAAATAGTAAAACTTCATTTGACCCCGACTTTTTTTATTTATCGTCTTCTATTATTCCAAGACTAATCTATGCCCGACGTGGTGCTGCGCAGAGGTTTATAGAGTCATGTTTGACAATTTCGGTCCCTGACGCTGACCATGCACGTGTTTTATATAGAAAAAATAATGTCAGATTATTTTTTTATTAAAAACTGTTATAATCTTATTATTGTATTTACTTAAGTCTGTATTCATTATCGAAATAGATAATTCCCTTCTTTACGAATATGTTGATCATATTAGCATAGAGTTAATAGATATGGCATAGAAGCCCTAGATGACTCCGAAAAAGCCGAATGCCTTGGGGACAACCTAGAGCAGCAATGTACGCCATCGCGCGAACACACCGATACAGTCCACCTAACGGAGGTGGACCGTGTAATCGAGACTAGGGCTGCGCTTCCACCGGAAGGCGATCCTTTAAGTTCAGTGACCCCCGAAGAGGTCCAAGATATTATTAAAAATTTAAAACCGAAATCCGCCCCGGGCCCAGATAAGATCAGTAACAAAATTCTCAAAGCTCTCCCTGGGCCGCTTATCTGTTTACTGGCGACCATTTTCAACAATCTACTCTCCAGTTGCTCCTTTCCCGACGACTGGAAACAAGCCACGGCATTCGCAAGCCGAATAAACCAGCCAACCAGCCCTCTAGCTATCGTCCCATCAGCCTCCTCAGTTGCCTGGGGAAGCTCTACGAGCGGCTCTTATTAAACAGGCTCAAAGAGCACGTATTTTCCAACGGCCTTCTGCCCACGGAACAATTCGGCTTTTGAGCTAGACACTCTTGTCCCGACCAGTTATACCGCCTGACGGAGCACATCCTAAAAGGCCTAAACCACCCGGAACATATCAGTACAGGGGCTCTTTTCTTCGATGTCGCAAAAGCATTCGACAAAGTCTGGCAGAACGGCTTGCTTTACAAGCTGTACACACTCAAAGTGCCAGATAGGCTCGTACACACCATCCGGGCCTTTTTGTTGAATCGCTCCTTTCGATATCGAGTCGAGGGCACCCTCTCCACAAGCCGCCGCCTCACGGCCGGCGTACCACAAGGCTCCTGCCTCTCACCTTTGCTCTTTACGCTCTACACGAGCGACATACCCAAAGACCCCCACGTCAATCTCGCGCTTTTCGCGGATGACACCGCGCTCTTTTATTCAGACCGCAACCTTAGAATACTAACGACTCGACTCCAAAGCGCCGCCGACCGCCTCGGCGATTGGTTCCGCAAATGGAGAATAGAAATAAATCCCGAAAAAAGTGTGGCGATTCATTTCACACGAAGTACTTACCCGTCACATCTTTATAATGGCCCTCGCCAATGCAGAAAGTTGGGGCAAATATCCCTTTATGGCCAACCGCTCCCCTGGGAGAAAAAGGTCAAATACTTAGGAGTCACTTTCGACTCGCGTATGTCATTTACTACGCACATTAATAACGTTCGTAATAGAGCCGCGTTCGTCTCCGGCCGGCTACACAATTTAACTAACGCTAAAAGTAAAATGCCCTTAAGGCACAAATTATTATTATATAAGACCTGCGTACGACCTATTATGTCCTACGCATGCATGATCTACGCCCACACGCACCCTACTCGCTTGTACAAGCTGCAAATAGTACAAAATAAGTCCATCCGCCGTGCAACCGGTGCGCAGTGGTATCAACGCAACGTCGATTTGCACAGCGATTGCAGACTCCCGACGATTCGCGAATATTTCAAAGATCTGACAAAACGGTTCTTCGATAGAGCCGAACATCATCCCAACCCTCTGGTGGTAAGCGCAGCAAATTACCAACCCGACACAAACGCGAACGTCAACAAGCGTCGCCCGCGAAACGTCCTCATCGACCCGGTCGAGGAAGGGGACTTAGATACGCCTGACCCACCGCCGGGGGTCCCGCCGGATAACACTACACCCACAGCTAGTGTACCAACCAACACAATAGTTCGCCCTCGCCTCCCCGCACCGCGAGACCAACACAACGCGTACACAATGTACACCCGCGTTCCAGGGCGGTTTCTCACCCGCCCGCAGCCACCGATTAGCTAAAAACACAGTCGACGGCAATCGGGGTCTCGGTCCGCACCGCAACTTCGATGGCCCTTAGATGACATGTCATAGTTAAACGCACGCATGAGCACATGCGCGGCCCTACCCACAGCGGAGGGCCCAAACCCGTAGGTTCTGGCTAGCCCACCGGTTCTGCGTCAGATGAAGCTTTAATAGTCTCGGGACTGAAAGCAAAAACATCAGTTAATACAAGATACAAGAGATATGGCATAGAGCTTCCGTACTAATAGAATGATTTATAATTCGCATTAGCTTATTGATTTCTTTTTTTTTTAAGTAAAACATTTTATATGGTAAAATTAACCTAGTTTACGGATTTCATCGCGTTTTAGTTTGAGTTTTATTCCCGACGTTTCGAACCAATTCCAGCGTTCATGTCCTAATATCGGACTTAACTCAACGTATGTTACTATGTTATTTCTTTTATTCCGATCTAAGCATTGTATTGCATTGTTTGGATTTAATTTTAGGAGAAATCAATCTTATCCAACTTGGATATATAAGCATTAAAAAAATATATCGCAAAATTCAATCAAAACTTTTATTATTACATATTGATTTGCTAATAATTTCTAATGCAGTATAGCTTTGCAAAAACGTGGGTATGAATTTGTATTAAAATATTTATTTCATTTGTTCGTAAGTTGTTATATTTGAAAGATATCAACATCGGGGTGAACGTTCGCAGTGGTAGGTAATTTTGATATCGACTTGCCAAACGGACGTGACATCGTGACCCCAGGGGCAGCAGACGGCGATGAATCATTTGTAAATAACAAATTATATATCAGTCTCGTACAGAGTAGGTACCTTCGACTTCACATAAAACTTTACGCAGTTAGCTTTAATACTCCAACAGATTAAAATGTTTAGTGAAATTTTCTATCCAGCACAACTACTTTGTGAAACGAGTTGTCGCCAGCGATATTTCCGGACCGATACGACTTAGGGAACTTCGAGAAGAGAGCCTACTCCTACCTTAAAGGCCGGCAACGCAATTGCGACTCAACAGATGCGATGTTGCAAATGTCCATGGGCGGCGGTGATCACTTATCATCAGGTGTCCAGCATGCTCGTTTGCCTCCTTTTCCCATAAAAAAAATGCCGAACTATTCAGTGAAGAATAGTCTTATACAATTATGTTCATATTTGTTGAACGCAGCTTCTGTCGCTTACATGGGTAATGACCGTGTGTTGTATATGTTTACGATGTGATGCAGTAATGGGCTAGTTTTTAGAGCTCAAGCTTGTGATCTAAGTTACAAACGCAACAGCATACGTCCGTGCCAAATTCAATGGTCTTTGACCTACGACGAGAGGCATACAGTACTCGCCGATAAATAATGTACATCGACCCGTGGCGGTTTGATAATGTAGCTTTCGTAGAGATAAGAAATTAGAAGACCACTTTATGCTAAGCCCTGATAGTTCAGATTGCGGATCTTTCAATTCGGAATCCGCGAGCAACCTGTGTTGCAATTTTCAATGTTGATTTATCACTTGTTCGGGGGTGAAGGAAAACGTCGTGCGAAAACCTCTAATTAACAATTATAATAATAAATATTTTTTACTTAAACTCTGCCAATCCGCGGTGGGGTCGCTTGGTGGATTTAACCTGACACTCTCTGTAAAGAGGAGGCCTTTACCCAGCAGTGGGACATCTGTAGGCTGTTGATTTACTTTTCTTTAATACTAGTGCTCTGTGTGTTGATAGTAATTCCTCGGAAGAACAAAACAAGTTTTCCGCAGTCTCTAGAACTGTAATGAAGGACCTTTAAAGTACTCTTCTAATGATTTGGTAGAAAATACTTTATGGGCTCTTTGTTGACGACGACTTGCAATTTTTAAAGCGGCATAATTGTGTCTTACTCTTGCTGTAGGATAATGAAACCAGAGGCTTAAGCGGTCTTATTCAAATCTTTCTACGAATAACAACTACCACTGGACATCAACAAACTACAATAATATCAATAACTTTTATGAATGAATTTTTTTTCGGTAAACTATGAATTCATTATAATCACTTAGAATACCTTACTAATGGTAGTTAATCTGATAATCTTTCTTCATTGTCAGTGGCAGTCCTTCACAGAATTCATTAGTAAATGATTTCTAATTCATTAACTATTGTTAGCTACCCCCACGAGAGGCTTTCAACGTCCTATCTTATAAAAGCTGTTTGATAGAACACAAGGACATCATTTCACTGTCGAATGTCGATCATAACGGAATTATTGTGTTTAAAATGAACTTGCAATCGGTAAGCAAATTGAAATTTCTCTAGTTATATATATATATATATATATATAATAAAAAGACTCCAAATGTATTCTCGGAATTTCGGTCCTATTTAGTACTTGCTAATTCATTTACATTTCTATATGTTTTGTTTTAATTCCTATATCGATATCTGCTTAATAATAATTTCTTTTAATATTTGATTTTTATATAATTTTTGTTTTTTTGCAGGCAATAATATTTGTAGCTTTAAGCGTGCTTATACCTATGTTAGATGCTGAGAGGTCTGTCGGTGATAAAATGCTCAAGTTGAGAATGACCGAACTTTATAAAACCACGGCTCGAAAGGCGTCATCGTTGATATCAAATATGGAAAGAAAGGACAATATTCAACTCCAAAATACATTCGTAAATGGACACGACACAAGTTCTCGCAACAAGCGCCTTACATCATCATCAATGTGCGAAAAATTCGTCAAATACATCTCAGTGATATAGATATGATGTATTCACCGATAAACGTCAAAAAGCTTGTAACTGATTTACACGAGGAGAAAATAATTAAAAAAAGACACGCTTGTAGAGGCCACCATAATCGAAGGAACCGTTTTCGGTTTTATAATGTAAATTACAGTAAATATAGAGATATTCATAACAATGATTCCAGCGAAGAGAGTGAAGAGATGAACACAGAAGATCCAGTGATAGATGTAACTAGTGCAGAAAACATTTCGCCGAATAAGCAAACAGTCGAAGTCCCGAACGAGCCGCGTTTGCAGACACGCTTATCTTCAAACGAACGACGCGGAAACCATGATTCAAAGCACGAAAACCATAACGATGACTCTGGCGAGAGTGCTGATAAAGAAGAATTTATTTTCACGAATGTTCCGCGTACCGTTTCTACGAATTCGAAAAAATCTAACAGATCCCGAGGAGAAAGCAATAATAAGCAAAATCGCTATGAAAGGTAATTGTAACGATGCCACTTGAGTCATATAGCTCATTGTTTATCGGTCTCGAACGTAATTACTATTCATTATGACATATCGTCTAATAACATTATATACACCCGATCTTATGATGTCATTACTGCGCTATTTAATTCAGTAATTATTACGCCTAATCAAAAGTCAAATATATTTATACTTTATTAAAAAAACCTATAGTATACTCTACATCATAGCGTATTCGTTTGTATGCCATGTTTAAATTTCATTACGTTGCTTTTACAGAGGAGTTATTGAAGAGGAAAACGTGGCGACAACTGCTTCGGGTTTCAAATTCACTTCAGGCAATTCTGATTTTGGAAGCAACGTCGCCTTCGGAAATATCAACGTGTAAAATAAATATGGACAATTATTGTGATCTCGAATAAGTTAGTGTATAAATAAAACATTAGGATTTAGACAAAGTTATTTATTATGTTCTCTACTAAAAAATCTTACATTTATACGCAACTATAATGTACATCCTTATCCTAGGTACAAGTAATGGCAAAAAATTCTCCACGATCTTTACACAAAAGCTATCATCTATCACACTAGTGAGAATGAGATGCATAAATAAATTGTATCCTAAAGGCAAGGCTGAGAGAACATGAAGATTGGTAACCTTTACACCTAATTAGGTGAACATATTCCGGAAATAGAAATTACAACAATGTCTAGTACTAGCGGACGAGGGAGTAATAAATAATCATAAAAGTAGCATACCTACGTTAAAAGCATTGATTTAAAAATATATATTTAATAGTAGGTCAATGTGAAATCCGAAACATTTTAAAAATGTTTACCGCTTTTTGAAAATAGATCTAACTGTTTCTGTACCGCGGCTATTGAACATTATAAAAAACATCAAAGTGATTCATTGCTTGTAAATTAAATACATTAACTATCCTTGTCCACAACTCTAGAGTTGGAGTGATAGTTAATTTATGAGTTTCTTTTATAAAAAAGAGAGCAACTGTCAATTACGGAGGACGGCAAAGTATGAACATCAAGTATTTATTTCATAGATTATTCGATTGTACTTGTAGATCTTAACGATTTTGACTCGAACATGCTGGTGTTTTGTTCAGTTCGCCGATAGGTGGCGTTATTTCCTAGTCAGTCTAAATATATCGTTAAGGGGCGTGTAAGGTGCTCTGGTCGGAATGGCGTTGTAGGCGAAGGAAGGTTGCGCGTCCGCACGTAGTATCACCACACCTGCGAAGGAAAAAATCACTCAATGCATAGTCTCAACAATTTTCATTGGTGTCATAAAAATTGTCAAAAATGCACATCATACCCGATAGGTGGCATGAAAATTAATACATGTTTAAAATTTTTGAGGACACATTTTTACATATTAGAGAACTGATAAACATACTTAAATATACTTTTTTATAAATAAATATATATTACAGATATACAAAACACCCAGACACTGGAAAAGTGTTGTTCATAACACAATATTTTTCTAGTAGTGGGGATCGAACCAACACACTCCCTCTGGCGCAAGAGACAGGTTCATTATTTACTACAAAATCAAAATCAAAATCAAAAATATATTTATTCAAATAGCTTGGGCGCTCTTATGAATCGTTAAATTTTACATCAAAGATTATGTATATAGATTCGTAAGGTACTACGCCAATCGGGTCCTTTACGATTACTATATTCCTAATATAGTAATCGTTCCTGAACTATTCTGTCCATTTTTTTTTTATTCAGAAACGATTTTTTGCTGTCACACAAAAAATATTACAAATGAAATCAAAACGGTTACATTTTTGACCTAAAATTTAAGATCAATCTAAATAAAAATAAATTAAGGTAACTAAACTTTAAATAATAGTTAGGAGCGTTTGTTTTTTAAAGAAGTTATGTGTTAGCAGTAAATATAAATAAGTACACTGGCTGGCATATAATGTACACAATTATAGACTAATATTTAAGTACGAAAATACGCAAAACATGATTATTTGGCCCGGGGCGAAATAAACTTCGAGTCCTAAGCAATTCATAGGTATTTACCTATGAAATTGCCGTTCTTCAGTACTGAAAATTCTTTTTACAAAGTCAGTCTTTTGTTTAATGATAAGCTTTGTATTTGCATTACATTTGAACATTTTTCGTCGAAAACTAGGCAATTTTATAGGTTAAAGAACTAATATTATAATTAAGTGACAAGCACTGCAAGCTTAACATTTACGTTAAAGCATCGCAATTTCAATTAATTTATACTAAAATTACCGGAATAATTTCTACTGTAAATAAGCTCAAGTGAAAGGGACCAATACCCTTACTTGAGAACAATGATATGGTACTAAACGTGTATTTTATAAGAACACGCAAAACACTGGCTACCTGAGGGGTTCACTTTCACTTTGATTTTAGTCTGGGGCGAAAGCACCCCGTAGTCCACATCTTCATACAGGTCCTGGAAAAGGAAAGTTTTTAGTTTATTTTAACTAGTACACATTTCGTTTATCTGTACCAATTGAGGTAGACAAGAAAAATGTTGAGATGAGAAAAATGCAGAGGTTAGCGCTATAAAAATTTGAAAGTATATTTATCCGAGGTGACAAGCGAGATGGCGGTTCTACCGATGTTAAGGGATAACCGCCGCCCATGGACATTTGCAACATACGTAAGGTTGCAGATGCCAGCTTTAAACTGTGGCCTTAAACGGGCAAAGTTCTAGAGGAGTTTACTTGCACCCACCTCGAGCCGGTAGCCGGCCGGGTTGTTGAGTCCCAGCTCGCGGAGGGTCACTGCCACGTCGGACGGCGTGCCGTCGGTCCGTCTGTTGAGGAACGCCACCGCGTACGAGTAGTGCTGCCCCTGGATGGGCACGATTGGCCGCGACCAGATCTCTATGCCGCGGTGCTGGGGAATGGTGGGGTAATAAGGGCTACTACTGTTTGCGTGGTGGAGGAAAACGTCGTGAGGAAACCTGCATATTCTCGAAATTATAATAGAAACGTTTCGATGATATGTGAAGTCTGCCAATCCGCAGATTACAGAGCAAAACCTTTTGTAAATAGGCTGTTACTTTACTACTTTTTATACTGCGTATTTTTGTATAGATTTGTGTACAATAAAGACGATAAATGTATTGAAGCCGTAAATCGAAGATCAGGTTAAAGCGGTTGTCTATAGATTGATTTGGACTGATGTGGGCTAGGCGAGGACGATAAGGATAAATACAATTGATGACAGAGCCGTGTTATTCGTAGTTAGAAACCAGGTATTTTAGGCAACTGATTTTTAAAGTTTTAAAAATCAGTAGGAGATTCCAACATTAAAAGAAATTGGTATTGCGCCGTCCTCTACAAAACTGCGTATTTGGCAACTTAAGCATATTTTTGAAATTAAAAAGGTGCATTTTTTTAAAAGCCGCCTCTCAGGATATTGATCACCGATTTTAAAATGATATAAGAAAACGAATGTGGAATAGATGTGTAAACACGAAGGGGGAATAAGAGAAACGTGTAGTGACACGTTTCTCTTAGTGACAATGGTCAAGTGATATGATTAAATAGGTACGAGGACCAATAGGTAATTACCGTAAAATATATGTACGTAGTCACTCACCTTGTATATCCTCCTGCCCTGAATGCCCAGCGGGTCTTGGTCCACCTCTATTATCTTCCTGTTCTGCAGTATCGCCTTGTACTCGGGCCTTATGGTGCGGAGGTCGACGCTCATCAGTAAAGGCGCCGCCAGTATGGCCCAGATGGCGAACTGGGTCTTGCTCTGCTCGTACGACAGCCCGAAGTTGCCGATGATCAGCTACCGGATTGACAGAGAGGCCTCGTTAAATACATCTCTGTGTGGATGAGGATCGGCGAGCATACGAATGCCTCGTTGATAACTAATACGATGACAAGCAAGGTGACGGTTCACCTGATGTTAAGTGATAGCCGCCGCCCATGGACATTTGCAACACCCGTAGGGTTGCAGATGCCACCTTTAAATAAAGCTGGCTCCAGCTACCTCGCTCACTTGACGAAACGCATAAGAATAACTCTTCCACTTCAGGTCGGTACTTTGTGAGGTCGTGGCACTTCACCGGACGGACCTATCTATTTGTGCAACAGCGAAGAGTGTTGCATGGTTCAACCAGATGATTATCAACATTTGGCATTCGCAACACGGGTAGGGGCTTGAAGTTCTCTTAACCTTTAATGGCCAAACTTCAAGAGTCAATCTCCGCGAGCCAACCTCACTCACCCGACGGAACGCAAAAGAGTGAATGTGTCTGCTACATTGAGTCGATCTCCCGTGAGGCCTAGACAACTTTCTGATCGAGTTCATCTATTCAAGCATATGCAAATTTTGTCCACCCATGTGTTACTATTTGTATATTCTGCCAAAATGTAACAAAATCGACAGCTGCCGTGAACAACAACATTGTCAACTTTGTCACAGTATTCACTTTCGGTAGTTTTTGCTGCACCAATGTAAGCCTGTCACGTAATAATTCTTAATAGTCCAGATGGGCAGTAGTTTCCATGAGCCAGTTACGGTATAAAGGTAAAGAAACGAAAAACGTATGCTTACCATATCAGGGTCGTTCCAATGCCCCGGGCCGGCGTTTGGCACGATCGAGTCCTGGTGGTTTCCGTAGTAGTCTATGATAGACTCGACGGAAGCCCAAGAGTCTTGTATGTCGTCGAAGTTGCGCCAGAGGTTGCAGTGCTCAATGATGGACGAGAAGTTAGGCTGGAAAATTTGCATAAATAAGATTCAGGGAAAACGGTTGTTTGAAACATTATTTCTATTGCTAATAAGGCCGTCGAGTGTATAATAATCGAACATGACATTGAACAAGGTTTTTTATTTCTCATTTTTTACTGTATTGGTGCGTAATAAACATCATTTGTTCTTTCATTAACTGTTACTCCTATTGCTATTTCATTAACTTAATGGTTTCTTATATTGTACCGGCGTTTTACATTCAGATATTAAGAATGACCAAATGGCCGTAGAAATTATAAAGAGTTGATGTTCGCGCTTCCAGTTCTTATCAAAAATAAACATACGGTATGGGATATTTATCTAGAAATACTGAGATTCTTGAGAGAGAGAGAGACCCAACTTAAGCTGAAACCTCTTAAGTAGATTTGCGTAAATTGACAGAAATGCGGGGATAATGTTTTTGTAGTCTTCATTTTTATTTTAGTGCTCATCCCAACACTCAAGATAACATTTTAAAATATTATCTTTGTAGATAAATGAACGATATGAAACACCGTTGGTAAAGTTCTAAAACCTCTGGGTGCAAAACCGGAATACGCAGGCTCGAATTCGGCAGCGCGGAAAGTTTATGTTTATTTATCAACAATAAACACATTTAAAAAGATTATGGGTTTTATCAAGTTTTAAAGAAATTTCATTTCAGTCACAAGATGTTTAAAAAGATTATGGGTTTTATCAAGTTTTAAAGAAATTTCATTTCAGTCACAAGATGTTTTAAATATAATTTTTTTGATATTTCTATTTGCAGAATACCTTTGTAGCGTGTTTCACCCACCTGGATTCCGGCGTAGATCTGGTAGACGGGCCAACTGCACGAGTAGACCATTTGGCGGCCAGTGAGATTCAGCTGACGCCCAAACTCCGGATATCCATGGTCCATGTCGGCCGGCAGGGCATAGCATCCATCCAGCTTCACGTAGTCAACACCCCACGCAGCGAACGTGGAAGCGTCTGTTGGGAAACAGATATTTATACGCACATGATTACCAAATAAAACTCTATAAAACTTTTATGATTCGAACTCAGATATAAAACTTATTATCACGCTTAATTTCATCTTTTAACTTCTCGAATTTTCAAACTCTACAGTAGCATTGCTTCAAAATTCTAAACAACAATGTAGATAAAAGGCGTTAAGATTTTCGTCGGTGTCGCAATCAGCCGTTTAGCTTAGTGGCTAAAGCGTCAGGCGGCGAATGCCGAAGACGTGGGTTCGATTCCCACAGCGGCGACAATCTTTTCGTACTTTTTCTACAAATTTTAATGTTAAATCTTAAGTGCAGAGATTAGAACTATAAAAAATATAAAAAATAATATACAGAAGTCACCGGAGAGACTTGACGTGCGCCTTAAAGCGCCAAAAAATATATAAAATAGTTTTATTTAACATAATGTATACTATTCGCGCCAATACTAGAAAACATTATTCAGGTGTCGCTTCAGTTTCCACTCGTCAGCCAAACACCGTCAGTGTCACGTAATAAACTTGCGTCTTCAATTTTAAACATAAAATGCAACACAGAAAACCTAAAAAATATTGAAGCATAGATAAAAGATATATATAGCGTTGACGTAATGGCGGATGTTACTCTTATTTTTTTTTTTGTTTCGCTCTCTTCTACTTCCGGTGGAGCGGAAGTAGCGTGATACGGAGCGCAATAGCAAACCACTCGGTCAGGAAGACGCGCTTTAACACGGATTCGGCTTACCATTGCCAAGTTTGGACATCGTTTGCGGCCCTTACGTCATTCTTACGCGAAATTATTAAGACACGCGAGTCCACGTTTGTGGACTTTATCATATTTTTTTATAAATAATTTTATATCCAGTAATATTATCATAATGCAGTTTTATTTACGACTCAAAGCTGGGTATCATAGTTGTATACATATTTCTAACACGCTTGGTTAATTTTACTATACAATACAATGTACGCTCTGTACAATTACCATAACGTTTTACAAGTTTTTGTGTCTGGTTTTATAGTTGGTAACAAAACACTCGTTAATGTTATAAAATTGTTTGTAATTCATAACTATAGGTAAATAATATGTTGTAATAAAATCCGAGACGGGCCTGAATTTTTTTTTAACCTAGTATCTCAAAGTAAAGTTTATGAGTAGGTCATTTAAGGCCCATTTACACGATGCCATTTTCTTGTACATACAAGAGCAATAATTGAATGCAATAAATTGCGCGCAATAATTGGTTAGACCATTTGTTGTTTAGACCATACAACTCATTTATTGCTTCAATTTAATTGTATACAACAGGCAAGAAACTGGCACCATGTAAATGGGCCTTTATGGTGCAAGGGGCGCGACTCTGGAATGACTTACCACTAGAAGTAAGACATGCTCAGTCATTAAATATTTTCAAGAATCTTGTAAAAAATCATTACTTATCTCTATAATGTTGTTCCCTAACAATGATAATTATATGTATTCGTATATATGGCATGTATATATTTATATGTATGTATTGATGTGTATATGTATGTATATGTGTATTTATATGTATATATTTTGTTAGCCTTTTGTATATACATTTATTTATTTACTTACATATTTATAAATATCTTATTATTATGAGTTATGATTGTAGATAAGTATTTTTCTTTTTCATTCATTTAGTTAACCCACACCTTTATTCCTAAATTATTTATTTTTCAATCCATCCAAAGGTTGCCTGGAAGAAATTACTCTTAGTAATAAGGCCGCCCATTGTACCCTTTACTTCTACATTAAGTTTTAATTTTTGTTTGTTTTATTTGGTGTGCAATAAAGTATATTCATTCATTCATTCATTCATCTCGTGCTCGTTAAGTAGTTAAGTATATTACTTTGATAGAGTATACTTTAGCGTAACTGATGTTTTCTTATTTTTACTTAAACGGTAATAATGTTATTGAATAGAGATAAATTGAGAAACTCGTTTTTACACCGCTTTCATACAACTGCATGGGACAAGTGATTCGTTACGTGATATACGTCGTTGGTCATGGCAAAAGCTACACTTTTACTGTGACGCTATCCAATGAATATAAATAACGATCCGACCGTAGGAAATGCCTTTCGTGTCAGGCTATTGTAACTGAAGACGAATATTAGATGACTAATCATATTTTGAAATAAATTCAGTTATTGCCTTTAGAACGCTTTGTGTATATAAATCTGTAGGTATTGCCAAACAATGAAGAAACCATTTCGTCGTCCAGTTCAAGCTTTTAAGTTTCCAGTTTTCTAAAAGGACACACGATTCATTTTCTTTTGCTTTATTCGTATTTAAAAAAATAAATCGCTGCCAATTTTGTCTGATTCCTCTTCAGCAATTTAGAAAAGTAAATACAAAATAATTACCTCCAGCAAGATGGCCGACCACGCCTGGGTATCCGGCGCAGGTGAAATTACCATAGTCCTCGTAGATGCCAAATTTCAGACCCTTGCTATGTACCTGGAGCCAATGAAAAGGACCAATTAATCACCAATTAATTCAATAAACAAATATTTAAATCATTCTAAGAAGCTTAACGAGCCTCCAGAGCCAGATTACATATTGTGTTAATATTGAAGAAAAAATAATTTGTTTGAACGAGTTAAACTTCGAATACGAGTAATTAGTAGGTACACACTTTTTTACATTCCTTTATTTCTTACATTATATTTTTATTAAATAAAAAGATGTAAACGTATGAGACTGTGAGAATTAGATTTGATATTTATTGATTTCATCTGGAATAGAATTGATCGTCATAAAAACATAAGACGCTCAATTAATACCAGTCAAACTATTAGTAATTAAAATATTAGTAATTTATCGTCAAACAGTGTCTAGAAAATGAGTAGAAAGTTTCTAAAGATATCTTGTGACTTACATAACCGGTATAGAAATTAGATATTTGTGTGCAAGCTTACGGAAATCATCAAAGGCATCAAGTACTTGCTTTTTTGTTATTAAAAATCATTGCCCTTACTTAAGGATAACATTATCCTGTATTGTAAGGACGTTTTACAAAAATTAATTTCACATGGACAAACATACAGTAATCAAGTCCATATAGCGATCGGTATTTTACAATTAATTTTAAATTCATCAACTTTTTTGTTATAAACATACAATATCCTTTGCAGTGTTTGTAAAAGAATTAAAAAAATGCGATCATTCCGTTTTCAGTCTCACAAATAAAATATAATGGAATGGAATTATTTGAACTGTCGTAAGGCCACGCAACAGTTTTCACTATTGCACGAATGGGCAGGTCCATCCTGGAAAGTACCACGACTTCACAGAGACTTAAGAGAAGGCGTGAAGTGGAAATATTATACTTTTGCGTTTCGTCTGATGAGTGGGTTCGCGGGGCCTACTTTATTGTTAGGTAGCAACGCATCTGGAACCCTATGGGTGTTGCAAATGTCAATGGGCGGCGGTTATCACTTAACATCAGGTGAGTTCCCCCAGTTGAGTACTACTCAGGTGAGTAACCCCAGTTCGCTTATCTTTTCAGATAAAGTTTTTTTTTGTATATATATTAATCGTAGGATTTATTAGTACCATAAGTACATTGACATAGTAAGCTAGAAATATTTAACTTTTTTAGCAACAAACACATTATATCCGATACATAAATTACTAAAAAGCGGTTGTTATATAAAATAAACTTGAATCTTAGTTGAAAAAGGCCGACAACTACGGTTTGTAAGACAATAGTTTGCTCATTGTTAGATAACCAGTTTTTTGTGGAGCGTAACAGAGTAAAAAATGAGATTATAATCTGTGATCATTACAATAATGCAATAACGCATAAGGGTTGTGCCTAAGATAGTTTGTTTTGTGATCAAAACAATTGTGTTTTTTATTTACAACAAATAAATGTGATTTTATTATTATTTTATTACTGATCATCATGATTTATATAGATAAGTTATGTATAAATTGAATGACTTGAATGCGTACTCGTATTAATTTTGTGCCATAAGTTTTTTCAAATATTATAATAAAATCATACACTATTAAAATTTTTCACTACGTTAAGAAATTCTTACTAAAAAGATACATTATTGAAGTTATACTTATTTTCTTTTTGTTTTATTTAATGTTATAAAAATGCATATGGTTCACCTGATGATTATCATTATCGCTGCCCAGTCAAGTGGCACAACCTTACTAAAGGATGAGATTCACCGGATAAACGCAAATTAAAAATAACTCTTTTTACTGTTGAAGTCATTCTAGTAAGAGCATACGTTGCCGCAAGGCTCTGCCACAATTCCATTATTTAGATTGGTACTGAGTGGCAGCCCTAAGCATTACACGACTTGTTCACTCCAAATATTTGACCCAAGGTTGCGAATATCGCTAGAGAACCATTTGAACTCGGTAGGCGTGATTAAATTACTCTTAACGTTTCAATTTATTGCTTATCAATGAATCTTAGAATAAACTTGTCTTTAAGACTTATTAAAGAAAAGCAAGGTCTGACTAGGACCGGATGCAATTGAACTTTACAGTTAATACCCCAAGCAAATGAGTTTTGAGTTTCTCAGTAACATTCACTGTCACTCTCTTCGCTCCGATAATAACCTGACCTTAAAAATGCCCTCCCATAATACTTCCATCTACTCCAAATCCTTTTCTGTCGAAGCGGTTAGGCTTTGGAACTCCTTACCGCTTCAAATTCGGCGGTCGCAATCACTGGCAATATTTAAAAGACTCGTTAAAGTTCACTTTTGTCCTCCCTAAACATTTTATCTCTGTATTATGATTTGTTTCTTTTTTTTCTTATAATTTATTTTAAAATAAATTTCCAATGCGTTAATGGCTTTTGTTTGGCCACTTATCGTTCCCTTCTGTTTATATATGTATAAATATATATGTATTCATTCATATATATATTTATTTATTTGTGTATATTACTGTTGTTTACATGCGTCTATCATACCCATATTTACAATAGCGTATATCTCAAACCCTTCTCACTGATCATTGTATCCTCTGTAACATGGTTGCCTGGAAGAAATTGCTCCTAAGCAATAAGGCCGCCAATTGTACCTTTATGTACTTGTTTGTTACCTTTGTAATTTTGTCCGGTGTAAAATACGCTTTGTATTTCAATTCAATTTCATATGTAGTGACTGTCACATTTAATATTTTTTACTAACACTGTATGGGTTACAGAAGGTTCGCAAATAAATAATTGATTATTTTTTTTTTCAAACATTGAAAAGAATAGGTGAAAATAAATACTAACCTTAACTCACATCTGACAAAAATTGTTGGATTGTTTTACGATTTTCCTTAATAACAATCAGTTTTTAACAAAATTGAGGCCAAAATTTTCTTACACGCAACAATTACTGCTGCGACTTAGCGAAGCGTTCGACAAAGCGTGGTTTAAAACGCGCAACAATTTCACCGAAAAACTCCGCGACAATTTTAAATTTTCTACAACATTCATGTTCATGCTTGCTTTATGACAACCCAATTGGCGTAATAGATAGTGGCCTTGTCACTTGCGCCGTAGGTATGGGTTCGATTCCTACTACTGGAAAAATATTGTGTGATGAAAATAGTATATTTCTAGTGTCTGGATGTTTATATATAAAAGTAAAGTATCAGCCTTTACATGTCCCACTGCTGGGCAAAGGCCTCCTCTATACAGAGGGTATTAGGGCATATTCCACCACGCGGCCCCCCCACTGCGGATTGGCGGACTTCACATATCTTCGAAATATTTTTTTTGTTCTTATTTTGAAAATATGCAGGTTTCCTCACGATGTTTTCCTTCACCGCTGAGCACGTGATAATTCGGCACTTAAAATTAACAATTTCATTGGTGCCGGCACTGGGGATCGAATTCAGGTTGTTCGAGTATATTGAATTAAAGGCGAGCGCCCGGACACTGAGCTATCACAGCTCATATATCTACAGTTCGTATTTATTTACAAAAGAAAATTTTGTTTGAGTATCAGGAGTTTATCAGTTACCTAGTACCCATAGTAAAAGCTTTCTTTAGTTTTGGACTAGAAAACGCTGTGTAAAAATATGTCCTGAAATATTTTATTTATTATTGACTAGTAAAAACTGCATCAAAATCTGATAAGTAGTTTTCAAGTTTATCGTGAACAGAGACAGACAGACAGACAGACAGACAAAAATTCCAAAAACGGTTTTTATGTTTCCTATAACTCTTTTTATGATACCCTATTTAATTTTTTTATAAATATATTCAATGTACATACACGCCGATTCTACTCTTTTATTATGGTTATAGATGGCAGCAATTTAATACCTGTTGCGTGGCAACACAGCTACAATCGAGCTGCCGCGGTGCGTGGGAGAACGCGTTGCCTCGTTTCGAAATCAAAACCGATGTGACACCGTAATGAGGAGCCTAATCACTTCCTCAGTTTTCTCATCATTGCTATGACCCAATGATGTTTAATAATATAGAGGACGCATGTCCATACTGCGCCGCGATAAACAATGTGACAGATGATATAGGACGTATGATATGGAAAGAGATGGATTACACCAATTAGTGTAATTTGATCGAATGATTAATTTCGGTGCGCTAGTGTCATATCTTTGTATATATCATTAATATTACCAATATATGTAGACTACTTAACCTATGCGATTTTTCGCACAGTAACTTCATCATTTACCGAATGGTACTACAGTTGCGTTAATAATAATTTATGAATGAAAGGTAGAAGAATTAGGTTTTTCAGTCCCTTTCCTTAAGCAAATTTTCAATTACTTGGAATTTATGGATAATAATAAAATAAAAAAAGGAAGAATAACATGTAAGAAGAGACATAAAATAATAACTTAATGCGTGTCAAATTCACATAATTTACGTCTTTAAACAACATATAACATTTAAACCAAATAACATTTGAAATGTTATTTGGTTCGTCGTTACTAGTCATTGTCTAACGCACTATAACGATTTGATAAGCATTGAGATAACAAGAAATGTACTTTCATCAGTGAATGGGCTAGTTTTTATTTAAAAAATAATGCATCCGGTATTATATAAATTATGTGCTACAATTATAAATTGAAATTAATAATTGAAAAATATAAAAAATTATAATAAAACAATAAATTTTATAAATTAAAATACAAGAACAATTTGTCTCTTTTACATTTATGATTTTTAATTTAAAATACATTTTTATGTTTGACCCTTATTAATCGAATCTGACAACCCTGGCGTTATAAAGCGGCGATTGTAAGGGTCCTTCGTAATCCTTGCAGTATTGATGGCTTCCGTTGGAACTGGGTGACCGCAACCAGTTTCGTATTGCGCCAACCGTGTCCGATCATTCGGTAGTAAAATCGTTAAATGCTAACTTTGCCCGATTATAAATAACGTTATCGTATGTTTCACAATGTTTATAAGCAGCACAATTACACCTCTCCTTGTAATCTGTGTTCGGTTTGTTTTA